GTTGACTGGCTAAATACGTTGTGTGTGTGGGGGGGGGGGGGGGGTGTCCTTATGGAGAGTTGTTGAACTTTGACCTGGGAAGTTGATCTCGCGAACACTTGAGAAGCGATGTGGTGGTGACTCAAAAATCAATAATCAAGTTCATTTCCTGCCGAGTGTCAGAAATAATGGCGACAAATTGTTGAGTTCTCTGGTCAATTTTAGTTTCGGTCATTTTTCTGGCGGCTATGCGGTGTTAGGGGTGGGTGTGGGGTTCAATAAGGGGGGTCGGTGTGTGTATGCAGTGTTTCTTCCAGACTTTTTTTCTTCGGGGAGGGGGGGGGGGACACTGGTAAAAGTATATATTTTCTATATAAATTAAATACGTTGGGGGGGGGGGGGGGTGAGGGGGTAAATCCTGGGGGGGGGCTGCTGATTTGGAGCTGCTGATTTCGTGTCAAATGTTGTCTAAGTGTCGTCACAATGGGGTGGGGTTCATTCTGATGACTGTAAACCTTAGAAAAAGTGAATGTAATGTTTTGTTTGGCAGGAATTTGTCTCTTAAATAATCGCTCATTTAAAGACACAACACTGATAAAGGGACACTAGTCCTAAAGACACACCAGTCCTAGAGACACACCAGTCCTAAAGACATACCAGTCCTAAAGACACATCACTGCTAAAGACACACCAGTCCTAAAGACACACCAGTCCTAAAGACACACCAGTCCTAAAGACACACCAGTCCTAAAGACACACCAGTCCTAAAGACACACCAGTCCTAAAGACACACCAGTCCTAAAGACACACCAGTCCTAAAGACACATGCCCATCTATCACCGAGAGCTATTCGTCTGGCGGAATTTGTGTCGTCTGTCCACTTGCCGTCTTTTTACACAGATGGTGGTCATTGATTGGATAACCCGAGGTGACCGCTGTCCAGTGATTGGTTAATTAATCCAGCAGGCGTCACGTGTGCGCGTGAAATCAAAGAGTGAGTCAGTGACTGCTGGGCTGGTTTTTTACTTGACGTTGTGAAAATAGAAACTTGTTTTAAGGGGGACAACTGGGGATAATAAAACGATGTACAGTAATTCATGGGTTGTCTGTCCTTATGACAGTCGTCATAATATGAAGTACAATTGACGACTCGCCTGTAGAGAGTATGGTAATTAATAGGTCATCTAATATGTATGGGTCGCTATAAGCATTGGTCTCTGTGAAATCGCTTACACACTTAGAGACTAAAGCTTTGACTGAAAAAAAAGAAAAAAAAAGGTTTATTTTTGTTTTCTTTTAAAGCGTATTACTGATCAGTAGTTTTTTTTTTTTTTTTTTTTAATTTTGTTTTACTCAACTTATTAAATAGTACACGCAAATAATATTAATTGGAATTAATATCGTTCCAATTGCAAGAGTGTATTCTCTAAGAGCCCATGCAAATGAAACCCCGTCCTATAAACCTTTAACTGAGGTCAGTGAAGCGGAACGCGCCGTGAACTGTCAATCAAACACCGCCATAGGGCAGGCTGACCTTTGATCTTCACCTCAAACCTCAGGTCACGTTCAATAACAACAACACACTGACACACACACGCACACACTGACACACACGCACACACTGACACACACACGCACACACTGACACACACACGCACACACTGACACACACACACTGACACACACACGCACACACTGACACACACACGCACACACTGACACACACACGCACACACTGACACACACACACACACTGACAAACATAGACACACACACACGTACAGACACACACACACACGAGGTCTTCCAGTACGTTCCCCAGACAGGTAGTGTAGTCCAAGGTTATGTTAGTGTCACGGAGTGTGTTGTATGTTAGGGTTAGTGTTGAGGTTAGTGTTGAGGTTAATGTTGAGATTAGTGTTGAGGTTAGTGTTGAGGTTAGTGTTGAGGTTAGTGTTGAGGTTAGTGTTGAGGTTAGTGTCGAGGTTAGTGTTAAGGTTAGTGTTGAGGTTAGTGTTAAGGACACAACCACACCTCTCCACACAGACACAACCACACCTCTCCACACAGACACAACCACACCTCTCCACACAGACACAACCACACCTCTCCACACAGACACAACCACACCTCTCCACACAGACACAACCACACCTCTCCACACAGTCACAACCACACCTCTCCACACAGTCACAACCACACCTCTCCACACAGACACAACCACACCTCTCCACACAGACACAACCACACCTCTCCACACAGACACAACCACACCTCTCCACACAGACACAACCACAGACTAGCGTAGCTGTGACGTAAACAATTATTTCCAGATGACATTTGGCGTCACAAAATGGCGGGGTGACATTTCAGATCTACCGGATGTGCCATATTTTTTGCTATGAGTGTGTGTGTGTGTAGGTCCATTGTGTTGATGTGGCACACACGAGTAATGATGTGTACATTCCTGTACTAACTCGGCTCACGTTGCTTGTGTACATTTGCATGCTGTGTACACCTGCATGATGTGTACACCTGCATACTGTGTACACCTACACGGTGTGTCAAGTTGATTGTAGGAAAAAAAGTCACAGGAAAAAAAAACACAGGAAAAAAAACACAGAAAAAAAGTCACAGGAAAAAAAGTCACAGGAAAAAAAGTCACAGGAAAAAAAGTCACAAATATATATTTGCATGATACTTGTTAATACTTTTATGTATTAAATATTCAGAGAGTGCAAATTAACTTAGGATTAATTAAATGTAAAGTAATGTGTGTAGGCTGTATACGCATAGGAATTGTTATAATTCATCTAAAAATATTTAGTATGAAGTATGTAGATTGTAATTATTTTAAACTTAAGATTAGTAGCGTTTAATAGAATGCTCCAAAGTCCACGGTTTTAATCCTGTTTTTTTTAAATACCAACATTAAATTACCGTGAAATGGTAAGTTCGTCTGACTTGCTGCCCTCAACTCATGGCCACAATAGTTATGTTTAGATGTTTAGTTCAACCACCTTTACTGCCCACATTTATCACGCTCATTACTTAAAACACTTAGGATGAAAAAAGAAAGCCGACAAGGTTCAAATGCTGTCATTGACGCATGACGTCAACAACACAAAATATGTTCGGACAATGCCTACTGAGGAGAGGCCGACCAGAGAATAGCCTACGGCAAAATGTGCCTAAATTTTTTTTATAGTTAAATTTTCTACCGCGTTTTTAACTAAATACGTAACAAAAGTTGAGATTGTTGTGTAAATTATATTAGAGTATTTTAACTTACAATTGTTATAAACCATAATGCTTTTAACGTCTATAAATAATTTATGCTATAAAAAAATACAACCCACAACAAGAAACATACAAAATTTTACAATTCTAAACAAATTAAAAAAATATTTCTAAAAATATTTTTGTGACTTTTTTTCTGTGACTTTATTTCTGTGACTTTTTTTCCAAAAAATTTTTTCCACTGTGACTTTTTTTCTGTGACTTTTTTTCCTAGCAAAAACTGTGACTTTTTTTCTGTGTTTTTTTTTCCTGTGACTTTTTTTCCGTTTACCGTCAAGTCTACCTGTGTGTTTACCTGTTGACAGACTGACGACACATTGTTGTCAACATTCCGTGGTGGTGTGGTGAGGTTAGGGTTCAAATCTCTTGACGTGTGGAGGTGGTGTGTGGAGGTGGGTGTGTGGAGGTGGTGTGTGGAGGTGGTGTAGGGGGTGGTGTGTGGAGGTGGTGTAGGGGGTGGTGTGGGGGTTGTGTGTGGAGGTGGGGTGTGGGGGTGGTGTGTGGGGGTTTTGTGTGGGGGTGTTGTGTGGGGCTACATTGAACAAAACAGACTTGCTTTTATTGTAGTATTCAAGCAAATCACTTTTAGATTGATTGGCGTGGTCGAGTCGGTAAAGCTCATGGTTGCTAAACCGAAAAGTCTCGAGTTCGAACCCTCGGGCAGATGAGGCTCGTTAGCTGGGGACAGCCACTCTTCTAGGAGAGACAACTCCAAAATTAAACAACTGCTGCCTTGTAGATTGTTCTTGGTTGGACAAAGGCTATGGAAGCAAATCCAAAAAGAAAAGCAGGCTTAAATCGGAGTCAATGGCCTCAATGGCGCATAAACAGTTGACACGTAACGCTTAATTGTGTTGGAGGCGTGGTCGAGTCGGCAAAAAGCTCATGGTTGAGAAATTCGAACAAAGTCTCGAGTTCAAACCCACTGGCAGATAAATCTCGATCACCTTCAACACTAATAATTAAGAACGAAGAAGAAGAAGAAGAAGATTGGCTGATGAAGTGACTTTAAAGAAAAATAACTTGTGTACGATGATGCACAATTTTCCTACAGGACCGATTAAAGGAATTGTTGGATAACTTGTGGTAGCTATTTTATGGAATTGTTGGATAACGTGTGGCAACTATTGTATGGAATTGTTGGATATCTTGAGACAGACAACCATTTCTCTCTCTGCTAATAAACGGATGCTGAAAACAAGCGACGCCGTGTGGCGGAGGGTGCTGGCACTTCCGGGGTGTTAAATCTATATTTAGCCTGTTTATTGTGGAGAGATAAGATGGGAAAATAAGGGAGGTAAATCAAAGCCCAGATTGTATGGATGGATGAAGGGGGGCTGTGTGAGGGTAAGTGGGGGGGGGGGGGGAACTAGCCTTGTCAAAAATATATATTTGTAGCGTATGTTGGTGGCCTAGTTGGTGGCCTAATTTGTTGCCAACACATTGTGAACTAAATATAATAATAAAATGTGGGCCAGGCTTCTGTGACGTCATTCGTGACGATGTGAACACAATTCACCCCCCCCCCCCCTCCCCTCCCCAGTATTTTGTCCGTCTGTCGACCGCGAGTGTTGACCCGTGACGCGCTAGCAAGGTTTGAGATGATTAGCTGGGCCGCTACGCCGGTGCAACATTCAGGGGACATAACATAACAGGGGACATAAGTAGCACAGGATCCACGCACAACTGGGTGTGTCCGTCTGGTTGATTAAAATGACAAACAAAAAAGACCATCTGTTGAAATGAATGTCTGAATCTGTTTTTAAATTTCTTACTCCTGGCCGTGTACTCACAGATGGTGTCAAAATAAAAGATTTCTCTTGTCGCTGTGAGATTAATTTCTTCATGTGTACACTTGATTAGTACACTTGTGGCAAGGCATGGGGAATGTGAGTTTATTTATAGAAGTCACGTGTTCATAGTTGATATTGTTGCGTTAGGATTGTGGGAGACCGACGATTCATCTCGCGTGAGACAACAGGCGGTAGGAGACCTGCACGACTTGTCTAGCTGTCGTCTGCTGGCGTTCTTAGTGGATGCTTTAGTCAGTGGATGCTTTAGTCAGTGGATACTTTAGTCAGTGGATTCTGTAGCCAGTGGTTGCTTTAGTGGATAATTCGGTCAGTGGATACTTTACTCGGTCGATACTTCGGTCAGTGGATACTTTACTGAGTGGATAATTCGTTCAGTGGATACTTTACTCGGTGGATAATTTATTCTAGTGTCTGTTTTGTAAATTCGACAACTTTCATGTGGATGTGGATGTAGAATTTCTTGACATCGGATTTCTAACGTGTCTACATCAAGTGAAGTGCTCACTGACTACAAAAAGTGATTAGGTTTAATTTTTTACGTTAGTGTCCGGTTGATATGACGTCAGTCTCGAGTTGATGTGACGTCATTGTCTCCCGCTGCTGTGACGTCATGGAGAACGGCGCCCCGAGCCCCGTCAAGCCCAAGAGGAGCGCCTCCAGGCGCCAGGTGCCAGACGCCCTCAGCCAGGTGCCAGACGCCCTCAACGACTCGGGATTCACGCACGAGAGTTCCAGCAGCTCCCCCGCCACCTCCCCCCTGGGCAGCACCCCAGGGGTCGTCATACCTGCCACCCCCGGGCTCAAGCGCCGCCTGACCAAGCGGGTCGTGTACACGCCCGCCAAATACAAGGTAGGATTCGAACCCGCTACATGGACGGGGAATGTAATCATATAACATGGGGGGAATGTAATCATATAACATGGGGGGAATGTAATCATATAACATGGGGGGAATGTAATCATATAACATGGGCGGGGAATGTAATCATACAACATGGTGTAAGTGTAAGGTGTACAGCTGTCTGCTGTTGTGCTGGTCAGTGATGGACCAAGTTGGTGTGTGGGACCGACCTGGGATATACGTGGGCCCATACCACTTATATCACAAGGCCTGTTATATATATTGTTAAGGGCCACTGAATGTCGGGGGCCCTACATACACCAGACGTGTCAGCCCCCCCCCCCCTCTTTAATCTGTCCTGCTGGTGATACATTTAGTGAAAAATTCTTTTACCTGGTCTGTCTTTATTAAAGGGGGGGGGGGGGGGGGGGTCTATTTAACTATCCCATAACACGCGATCCACATCCAACACATGTTGGATCATACAAACATCCAACACATAACTAGATCTAACCAGCCTTGATTCGCACTGAACCCCGCACTGAACCCCGCACTGAACCCCGCACTGAACCCCGCACTGAGCCCCGGTTCTTCACAAAATACTAGGGACCTTCCTATATATTGCACGTAGGTCTATTTGGGACCCAACTATCATAATCTGACAACCTGGTTTTGGAATTTTCCTAACAATTTTATTTTAGCCATCTCGCTAGACTTGCTGCTCTATATATACACACACATACACCACACATACACCACACACACACACCACACACACACACACACATATGTAACCCTAAAGAATGTCGACCTAGTCTTATTTAACCAGCCCTTGAATTTCTGAGCTGAAAGATGGCACACGTCACGCTCTGTTGCGTGCGGTGTAATCTCCTGCAGACCGTATCACGTGACACAAGGGATTGGGTTGCTTCTGCTTATACTAGGGGTTGGGTTGCTTCTGCTTATACTAGGGGTTGGGTTGCTTCTGCTTATACTAGGGGTTGGGTTGCTTCTGCTTATACTAGGGGTTGGGTTGCTTCTGCTTATACTAGGGGTTGGGTTGTTTCTGCTTATACTAGGGTTGGGTTGCTTCTGCTTATACTAGGGGTAGGGTTGCTTCTGCTTATACTAGGGATTGGGTTGTTTCTGCTTATACTAGGGATTGGGTTGTTTCTGCTTATATTAGGGATTGGGTTGCTTCTGCTTATACTATAGGTTGGGTTTGCATACGCAAGGGGTTGTGGTACTGGTTGTAGATTAGCTGGTTAAGTGTGCAGTTAACTAGTGCTGGCTAAGTCGTCCACTCAGTTAATCCCAAGCACACCTCACATAATCCCAACCACACACATCACATAATCCCAACCACACCTCACATAATCCCAACCACACATCACATAATCCCAACCACACATCACATAATCCCAACCACACCTCACATAATCCCAACCACACATTACATAATCCCAACTACACATTACATAATCCCAACCACACATTACATAATCCCAACCACACATCACATAATCCCAACCACACATTACATAATCCTAACCACACATCACATAATCCCAACCACACATTACACAATCCCAACCACACATTACATAATCCCAACCACACATTACATAATCCCAACTACACATTACATAATCCCAACCACACATTACATAATCCGAACCACACATCACATAATCCCAACCACACATCACATAATCCCAACCACACATTACATAATCCCAACCACACATTACATAATCCCAACCACACATTACATAATCCCAACCACACATCACATAATCCCAACCACACATCACATAATCCCAACCACACACCTCATATAATCCCAACCACACACCTCACATAATCCCAACCACACACCTCACATAATCCCAACCACACACATCACATAATCCCAACCACACATTACACAATCCCAACCACACATTACATAATCCCAACCACACATTACATAATCCCAACTACACATTACATAATCCCAACAACACATTACATAATCCCAACCACACATCACATAATCCCAACCACACATTACATAATCCCAACCACACCTCACATAATCCCAACCACACCTCACTTAATCCCAACCACACCTCACATAATCCCAACCACACGACATTACATAATCCCAACCATATGAAATGTCACCCTGTGTGTGCATCTAATCACCGTGAGCCCAACATTTTGTGTGTGTGTCTAATCACCGTGAGCCCAACATTTTGTGTTTGTCTAATCACCGTGAGCCCAACATTTTGTGTTTGTCTAATCACCGTGAGCCCAACATTTTGTGTTTGTCTAATCACCGTGAGCCCAACATTTTGTGTTTGTCTAATCACCGTGAGCCCAACATTTTGTGTTTGTCTAATCACCGTGAGCCCAACATTTTGTCTGTGCGTCTAATCACCGTGAGCCCAACATTTTGTCTGTGTGTCTAAATACCGTGAGCCCAACATTTTGTCTGTGATTACACGGCCGTCTCTAGCAGAGTGAGTTGACAAGTTCTGACAAAAATCTGCGCTGATTTACAAATGAGCGAGAAAAATCATTTTATCCTGCGTGTAATTAGACCAGGCCCAGTGACATTCAGCAGACGACCACGTGATGCAGACTTCACGCTTTGATCGTCCAGTCACCGAAATGTGTACATGTAGCGCCGTGTCGTGATAACAGTTCACCAAACACGTGTAGCCTACACACAACAGCCGTACACGTTTGACTTCTGCCGTCAAACACTGACCAAAACATCACGTCTCCGACCATTTGACTCAACAGATCTGACCTTGTGAGGCGGTGACCTTTGACCCACCACCCACAGGTCATGGTTCCACCAGACCAGACATGACCCCAGGTAATCACGTGATGTAACAGATTGTTCCAGAACTCAGGACTTCCGGTAAACGTCATCCAAATATTCCATTTGGTCTGGCTTTTTTTTTATGGCTAGCTATAACTTCCTATGGCTGGGATTATGGCTGGTTGGGGTCACGAGGCTATGGCTGTCGCCCTGTTCTAGCCCCACCCCCACCACCCTCACCCCAACACAGAGGCGTAGCGACCCTTCCCGGCGCCCGGGGACAAACTTTTCGATTTGCACCCCCCCCCTCGACATTTCGATTTGCACCCCCCCTCAAACTTCCGATTTGCACCCCCCCTCGAGATTTTGATTTGCACCCCCCCCCCCCTCAAACTTTCAATTTGCGCCCCCCTCAACCTTTCAACTTATTTTTCCAACCCATTTTGGCGCCCCCTAAGCTCGGCGCCCGGGGACATATGTCCCCCCACGCCCCCCCCCCCTCGCTACGCTACTGCCCCAACACAACCACAGAAGAGTGGCAAAGTCCCGCCATAGTAGTGCCGGAGGGCAGGGGCGATCACTCCCATACTTCCCTTCTTTCATCTGATTAGTTACTTTAAAAGCTGAAAGCGAGTTGAACAGAATGAGACAGACACATGCACACTGAAAGAATCTTTTCACCCTTCTTAACTTCTAAAAAAAAAAAAAAACAACCTCTGAGCCCACTTATCTGAATGCGGGGAGGTCAGCGAAGCATTACATAACACAATTATCTTGTGGTGTTATTAGATAGTTCCATACTTCGAACAAATAACGCCTGTCTTCTTCATCTCAAACTTGAAAACACGTAGCAATTAGTCTTGAACCCAATGTTCTATAGAAATAGCAACAATACCACGTGATTATGTTAACCAATGAATGAAGTGATGACTGGCATACGATTAATTCACCAAGAAACAAAAAATGTCGATTTCAAAAAGTTGTTTTGCTCACCAGTCAAAGTGTCACTTATCTTTTTTAGTTTCCTAAGTCACACTTCGTGAGTGAGTGCTTTAAGCGGTGTGGGTGGTACTTAGAAAACACATTTTCAACGTCATTCTTAGCACGTCGTATGGAGAGTTCATTAATGGGGGGAGGGTGGGGGCTAGAGAGAGAAATAATGGGTTGTGTCAAAACTCGAGTTAAGTCAAATTGGGTGACATACACATACTTTAGTTGGTGGGTGTGTGGTCTCTGTGTGGTGTGTGTGTGTGTGACACGCCCTGTGGTGTGTATTATGACACAGCACACCTCAAGTGTGTACTTTACATGGGTGTTGGTGGATGCGTCATAACTTTGAGCACGTGAGTTTAAAATTTGTTAACGTAGTTCACACATGAATACAACACACTTCACGTACATTGACAATCGAAAAATGACTCTTGGAATTGGATTTTGACCGATTTCTCATTGATATTCAAAGACTCTCAAGGATTCGAACTCACACCGTTCACATGCCAACCGATGCCTTTCATGTACTGTTGTCATTTACCCCCCCCCCCCCCCCCCCCCCCCCCCCCCGAATGTAGTTTTATTAAAGTCGACCACGGCAACCTATGACCTTCTGATGACGACACTATGTCAGATTTGGAAACTAATCTCCACAAACGTGTTGGCGCTCAGCCAGAGGTTTTGTCTCGTGTGTTTACATCTATTGAGCTCGTCTGTTTTTGTGTTCGCTAGTTTGTCTGTCAGTTTTTCTGTTCGCTAGTTTGTCTGTCAGTTTTTGTGTTCGCTAGTTTGTCAGTTTTTGTGTTCGCTAGTTTGTCTGTCAGTTTTTCTGTTCGCTAGTTTGTCAGTTTTTGTGTTCGCTAGTTTGTCTGTTTTTGTGTTCGCTAGTTTGTCTGTCAGTTTTTGTGTTCGCTAGTTTGTCTGTTTTTGTGTTCGCTAGTTTGTCTGTCAGTTTTTGTGTTCGCTAGTTTGTCTGTTTTTGTGTTCGCTAGTTTGTCTGTCAGTTTTTGTGTTCGCTAGTTTGTCTGTTTTTGTGTTCGCTAGTTTGTCTGTTTTTGTGTTCGCTAGTTTGTCTGTCAGTTTTTGTGTTCGCTAGTTTGTCAGTTTTTGTGTTCGCTAGTTTGTCGGTCAGTTTTTGTGTTCGCTAGTTTGTCAGTCAGTTTTTGTGTTCGCTAGTTTGTCTGTCAGTTTTTGTGTTTGCTAGTTTGTCTGTCAGTTTTTGTGTTCGCTAGTTTGTCTGTCAGTTTTTGTGTTCGCTAGTTTGTCTGTCAGTTTTTGTGTTCGCTAGTTTGTCTGTCAGTTTTTGTGTTCGCTAGTTTGTCTGTCAGTTTTTGTGTTCGCTAGTTTGTCTGTGTTGACACTTGCCGGACCGGCTATTTCAACAGTTAAAAAAAAGTTGTCTTAACCTTCAGCCGTGCGGGCCACGGGAAAGATTTGAACCCCCCCCCCCCCCCCCACAAGTTGAACTAAACTAGAATTCCTTGTCCCAACAATATTTCCACAAACCGACGTGCCATCTTGTTTCGATTGACCATATTACCAGAGAATCCCCTACCCCCGACATAAGTGGAAACCTTCAGTTCTAGACATCACCCAACGTCACCAATTTTCTAGCCTGAAGTCAAGCGGGTGTTGTCTAGTCTAGGAACTAGCTGGTGTTGTCCTGTCTAGACTAGCTTAGGTGAGCGCCAGGTAACTGGACTATGAATCTAATAACCGCTTGACATGGTGATGTCCACAAAAATGACTTTCCATTCGCCCAAGTGTGTGTGTCTGTGTGTGTGGGGGGGGGGGGGGGAGCATGTCTGAGTTCTTCATTTTTCCATCACCAATCTCTGTCTACATCCCATAATTTCATATCTCAACTAAGATTCTCCTAAAGCCCTTGAGATTTAGTTTGTTTAAATATTTTTACCACTGTCCATCCATCTTCTTCTCTTTACACAAGTTTTTTTCCTCCCCTACACAGAAGAGTCAACAAAACTCGCACTACTTATTATTCCTGCGCGCCGCATTTCGTCACGATGCAAGTCCGCCGTAAAGTCGTGTCTGTTTGCACAGAGGTCTCCTAATTCAATATTAGCTCCCTTACATGAGACAACTCTTCAGGGTGGGAGATGAGAAAATTACCATCTTCTCTCGTCGAAGATTAGAGATGGCAACACCAGCACTTTGTTGCCATGGTGAACTGTGTCACGTGATTTGGGGTACCCCTCGTTCAAACAGGTTTTTGTAAGGGGGGGGGGGGGGGGCTTTCGTCTTGTTTAATGGGATTAGTTTTTGTGGCCTAGTTTTAAATTAACAGGACACCAACGATGACAGTTGGCATAATTTGACCTGGTTAAAAATAGGTCATCAACGATGGCGTGTGTAAAAAAATCAAATCTTGTGAAACTAGTTCTCTGTTGTGTGTGTGACTACATGTGTGTGTGTGTGTGATGTGTGTTTGAGTGCAAGTGTGTATGTGAATGCTTGTATGTCTGTGAATATTTTCCCAAATAAAACCCCTGTATCTAAAAATAGTTTCCCTATGTTCCCCAATAAAACCCCTGTATCTAACAGTTCCCTTATGTTCCCCTATGTTCCCCAGGATGAAGACGAGTACATCGGGTTCGCCACCCTACCGGAGCAAGTCCACAGGAAGGCGGTGAGGAAAGGGTTCGACTTCACACTCATGGTTGTAGGTAGGTGGTACAGGAAAGGGTTCGACATCACGCTCATGGTTGTAGGTAGGTGGTACAGGAAAGGGTTCGACATCACGCTCATGGTTGTAGGTAGGTGGTACAGGAAAGGGTTCGACATCACGCTCATGGTTGTAGGTAGGTGGTACAGGAAAGGGTTCGACATCACGCTCATGGTTGTGGGTAGGTGGTACAGGAAAGGATTCGACTTCACGCTCATGGTTGTAGGTAGGTCCACAGGGAAGGGTTCGACTTCACGCTTATGGTTGTAGGTAGGTGGCATGTGCTGGCTGACGTCATACCCTCACTAACACGGTGATCACGTGACCTGATTTTTTAAAAATCACGAGGCAGTTTGATTAAGTGGTGATTTCCGTTCATTTCCTGAACTCGGATTCTCCACTTTTTCAAAAAAAAAAAACCCTTCTACAGTTGGTTGTAGGAAAAATTTTCACAGGGAAGAAAGTCACAAGGAAAATAAAAGTAAAACGTTACAGGAAAAAAAAACAACAGAAAAAAGTAAAAATCTTACAGGAAAAATGTCACAGGAAAAAAGTCACAGGAAAAAGCAACAAATGTGTATTTGCATGGAATTTGTTAATATTATTAGGTATTTAATATTTAAAAAGCGCAAATCAACCTAGATTAATTAAATGTAGGTTGTATACGTAATGTAATATGTATAACAAGCGTAAACTTATTTAGTATGAAGTATGTAGGTTTTAATTCCTTTATACATATAATATTTAATGGAATTTAATAGAATGTTCCAACCTTTTCGGTTTTTAGTCGTGTTTTTAAATACTAACTTTAAATTAGCGTAAAATGGCGTAGCGACGTAGTTAATGTGACTTTTAGCCTTCAACTAATTGCAACAATAGTTGAGCTATCTTTACCGATCACATTTTCACGCTCATTAAACAACAAAGCCTAGGATCAAAACAGAAAGCTGACACGGTACAAAGGCTTGCTTTGACGCAAAACATCAACAACACACAATATGAACGGACAAGGCCGACTGAGGAGAAGCCGACCAAGGAGTGGCCTACGGCAAAAAACATGTGCAAATAATTCTTCTACCGCGTATTTAATAACTAAATACGTAAAAAAGAAAGTTGAGGTTGCTGTATAAATTATCTTATATTAATTTTACTTATTACTATTATAAATTATAAACCGTAATACTTATAAAATTTATAAATATGCTGCAAAAAAAATAATAATAACACAACCCACAACAATAAACACCCAAAATTTTACGATTCTCAACAATTAAATCAAAAGATTTCTTAAAAGATTTTTGTGACCTTTTTCCTAGCAAAAACTGACTTTTTTCATTCAACAGTTGCCCCCCCCCCCCCTCCCAGTTGAAATTTAAATTACAGACGCCAATACCCTAACTTGACCAATACACTAGTAACTTGACCAATACACTAGTAACTTGACCAATACCCTAACTTGACCAATACCCTAACTTGACCAATACCCTAGTAACTTGACCAATACACTAGTAACTTGACCAATACCCTAACTTGATCAATACCCTAACTTGACCAATACACTAACTTGACCAATAACCTAACTTGACCAATACCCTAACTTGACCAATACCCTAGTAACTTGACCAATACCCTAATAACATGACCAATACCCTAATAACTTAACCAATACCCTAACTTGACCAATACCCTAGTAACTTGACCAATACCCTAATAACATGACCAATACCCTAATAACTTAACCAATACACTAGTAACTTGACCAATACCCTAATAACTTGACCAATACCATAATAACTTGACCAATACCCTAACTTGACCAATACCCTAACTTGACCAATACCCTAACTTGACCAATACCCTAACTTGACCAATACCCTAGTAACGTGACCAATACCCTAACTTGACCAATACCCTAGTAACTTGACCAATACCCTAACTTGAGCAATACCCTAGTAACGTGACCAATTCCCTAACTTGACCAATACCCTAGTAACTTGACCAATACCCTATCTTGAGCAATACCCTAACTTGACCAATACCCTAACTTGACCAATACCCTAGTAAATTGACCAATACCCTAACTTGATCAATACCCTAACTTGACCAATACACTAACTTGACCAATACCCTAACGTGACCACTACCCTTGTAACTTGACCAATACCCTAACTTGACCAATACCCTAACATGACCAATACCCTAACGTGACCACTACCCTTGTAACTTGACCAATACCCTAACTTGACTTGATCAATACCCTAACTTGACCACTACCCTAACTTGACCAATACCCTAACTTGACCAATACCCTAACTTGACCAATACCCCAACGTGACCAATACCCTAACGTGACCAATACCCTAACGTGACCAATACCCTAACGTGACCAATACCCTAACGTGACCAATACCCTAACGTGACCAATACCCTAACGTGACCAATACCCTAGTAACGTGACCAATACCCTAGTAACGTGACCAATACCCTACCTTGACCAATACCCTAATAACTTGACCACTACCCTATAACTTGATGTATTTCAGGAGAGTCAGGTCTGGGTAAATCAACGCTCATCAACAGTCTATTTTTGTCTGAGCTGTATAAGGACAGGGAGCTTCCAAGTGTCAATGGTAGGTTCAAGTAGGTTTTATCTGGTAGGTTCATGTTGTAGGTTTTATCTGGTAGGTTCATGTTGTAGGTTTTATCTGGTAGGTTCATGTAGTAGGTTTAATCTGGTAGGTTCATGTAGTAGGTTTTATCTGGTAGGTTCAAGTAGGTTTTATCTGGTAGGTTCATGTTGTAGGTTTTATCTTGTAGGTTTATGTTGTAGGTTTTATCTGGTAGGTTCATGTAGTAGGTTTAATCTGGTAGGTTCATGTAGTAGGTTTTATCTGGTAGGTTCAAGTAGGTTTTATCTGGTAGGTTCATGTTGTAGGTTTTATCTGGTAGGTTCATGTTGTAGGTTTTATCTGGTAGGTTCATGTAGTAGGTTTAATCTGGTAGGTTCATGTAGTACGTTTTATCTGGTAGGTTCATGCTGTAGGTTTTATCTAGTAGGTTCATGTTGTAGGTTTTATCTGGTAGGTTCATGCTGTAGGTTTTATCTGGTAGGTTCATGCTGTAGGTTTTATCTTGTAGGTTCATGCTGTAGGTTTTATCTGGTAGGTTCAAGTTGTAGGTTTTATCTGGTAGGTTCATGCTGTAGGTTTTATCTGGTAGGTTCATGTTGTAGGTTTTATCTGGTAGGTTCATGCTGTAGGTTTTATCTGGTAGATTCAAGTAGTAGGTTTTATCTGGTAGGTTCATGCTGTAGGTTTTACCTGGTAGGTTCATGTTGTAATTTAAATAATGTCCAATGTTCTTTCGTACGTCTTAGTTTTCACTTTAAAATATAATCAAATTTCCTGAAATAAACCATTGTTTCCATCTCCTTCAATCAATTTTATTTGTGATGAATGGTTTCATCTCCTTCAATCAATTTTATTTGTGATGAATGGTTTCATCTCCTTCAATCAATTTTATTTGTGATGAATGGTTTCATCTCCTTCAATCAATTTTATTTGTGATGAATGGTTTCATCTCCTTCAATCAATTTTATTTGTGATGAATGGTTTCATCTCCTTCAATCAATTTTATTTGTGATGAATGGTTTCATCTCCTTCAATCAATTTTATTTGTGATGAATGGTTTCATCTCCTTCAATCAATTTTATTTGTGATGAATGGTTTCATCTCCTTCAATCAATTTTATTTGTGATGGATGGTTTCATCTCCCCACCTGTGATGAATGGTTTCATCTCCCCACCTGTGATGGATGGTTTCATCTCCCCACCTGTGATGGATGGTTTCATCTCCCCACCTGTGATGGATGGTTTCATCTCCCCACTTGTGATGAATGGTTTCATCTCCCCACGTGTGATGAATGGTTTCATCTCCCCCACAGATCTGATAGAGAGGACGGTGACGATCGAGAAAAAACAGCTGGAGATAGAAGAGAAGGGGGTCAGGTTGAAGCTGACCATCGTTGACACCCCGGGATTTAACGACTGTGTCAACGCCTCCAACAGGTAAAAACTTCGATTGTTTTGTTTTCCCCCAGCATGCAGGTCTACATCTACAAACCTAGGTGATCTGAGGTAACTACTTCGATTGTTTCAGTATGAACCTCTTGAGCAAGAATTGAAGGCTGAAATCTAAAAACGTTAAAAAAAATGTTTTTTTCATTGAAGTATAAAATATGTAAAAAGCACACTTTGAACAGAATTGTGTTCCGAAATGCTTTTATAAAAGTTTTTGGGTCTCGGGGCACGCTCAACCCCCATAAAATTATGAAATATTGTAATTTCACAACTAATGGATTTAACTGAACGTTCATTGGTCTACAGAATGTATTTATATTAAACCTAATAATAGTCTATTTAAAATAGTCAAATGATATTTTTTTAAATGTATGGTGCATAATTATTACGCAAGTAGTCATGTGAGATTTTAGTATTTGTGTTGAAGACATTTATACTTAGAGCTGTACGCACGTTTTGTCGAATTTTTCCTTGAGGGGACATAACCAAGTTATATTAATATTGCTGAAAATATTATTTGTTATTACCCTTTTCGACAAAAAATTAAATTTTAGCCATTCTAGTTTTACTGTTTATTTATATCTTGCTACCAATGCTGATTTAGCCAAAATCACACTTAATTACTATTTGATACTAACAATCTTATCAAATCCTAGTCAATAATAAATTCTTTGATCATTTTTGGGGGACTGCTGGTTCAAACTAATATTAAAAAAATTTTATTCTCTTTTACAATGATAAGGTATTTAGGTAGGATTTAGGAAAAACATACAATTAAGTTAAATTCTTTTTTTACTTTTGTTAGCAACGTTCAACCATTCACTATGATGTAATTGTTAGTGTGATTGATAATTCATATAATTATCAATTTCATGTTTCGAACACACAAACCCTTACTTCTTTCTACTGTATGTATATTTTAAAGACTCTCTAATCTAAAGAGTGTCCTGTTTCTCTCCTGCAGCCACAAATCTCTGATAGAATATGTTGACCAACAGTTCAAGCAGTACTTTGAGGATGAGTCTGGCCTCAACAGACGTAACATCATAGACAACAGGGTCCATTGTTGTCTGTATTTTATTTCCCCGTACGGCCATGGGTAAGTGATCATGCGTGTGGGCTATAGGGCTATCATAACCACCACACATACATGTGGGCTATAGGGCTATCATAACCACCACACATACATGTGGGCTATAGGGCTATCATAACCAGCACACATACATAGGGCTATCATAACCATATACGTGTGGGCTAAAACAAACTGATATATATGTTTATCTCCCATGTTTAGTTTGAGGCAGATAGATATATATGTTTATCTCCCTTGATTTAGTTTGAGGCAGATAGATATATATGTTTATCTCCCATGTCTAGTTTGAGACAGATAGATATATATGTTTTATCTCCCTTGATTTAGTTTGAGACAGATAGATATATATGTTTATCTCCCTTGACTTAGTTTGAGACAGATAGATATAGAGGTTTATCTCCCATGTCTATTATGAGACAGATAGATATACATGTTTATCTCCCTTGATTTAGTTTGAGACAGATAGATATAGAGGTTTATCTCCCATGTCTATTATGAGACAGATAGATATACATGTTTATCTCCCTTGATTTAGTTTGAGACAGATAGATATATATGTTTATCTCCCTTGACTTAGTTTGAGACAGATAAATATATATGTTTATCTCCCTTGATTTAGTTTGAGACAGATAGATATATATGTTTATCTCCCTTGACTTAATTTGAGACAGATACATATGTTTATCTCCCTTGAATTAGTTTGAAACAGATAGATATATATGTTTATCTCCCTTGATTTAGTTTGAGACAGATAGATATATATGTTTATCTCCCTTGATTTAGTTTGAGACAGATATGTTTATCTCCCTTGATTTAGTTTGAGACAGATAGATATAGAGACCATGAAGAAACTCCACAACAAGGTCAACATAGTCCCCCTGCTAGCCAAGGCTGATATCCTAACCAAGGAAGAACTCAAGATAATGAAACAAAGGGTAATTTAACTAATTACTCATTTCAATTAACACTATATCACTAAATTAAATTGCAAAAAAACAGCTTATTTGAATCAAAAACACAAATTTAAGATTTAAATGCACAATTATTTTTAAATGTATTAATTTTTATTACAGCTAATTTAAATAGGCTCTTTTCATTTATTATAGTTGTCGTTGATTTGAGACAATGTTTTTACTTAATGATCTGTATCAGATGATTAATTAAATTGTTTAAAACAATGTTTTAATCTAAGTACCTCTTCTTGCAGATAATTGATGAAATAGAAGAAAACCACATTCGCATTTATGAATTCCCAGATTGTGACAGTGATGAGGACGAAGATTTCAAACAACAAGATCGCGAGTTGAAGGTTTTTATTCCTTTTTATAGATCAAAATCAGGAGTTGAAGAGTTGAATTTGTATACCTTTTGTTTACTTAATGTTTAAATACCTACCTAAACTAAATAAACAAAAAAACTATTCATATATTGATGTTTTGGATCAGTTGAAGATCCTGTTTATGTCATGTTTCTGACATCCATCTTTCATGACTGACTAAATGAACATGTATGAAACTTGTATATCCAGGCGTCCATTCCATTTGCTGTTGTTGGGTGTAACACGGTGGTCGAGGCCGGTGGCAAGAAGATCCGAGGCAGGGCTTACCCCTGGGGGATTGTAGAAGGTAAACATCACCTACACTTTCTGCTCAGATCACATCAGTCACATCCAGTGGCGTAGGCAAAAGGGGGTTGGGGGGGTTAAAACCCCTCCCATGGACCCTGACCCCTATATATATAGTCATAAAGATAGTCATATATATATATATATATATATATATATATATATATATGATTATTTACGGACGGAAACATTTTTGAACCCCTCCCATGACCAATTCCTGACTGCACCACTGGTCACATCAGTCACATCAGATCATAAGTCACATCAGATCATAAGTCACATCAAATCATAAGTCACATCAGTCACATGTTTGATGTAAACTTGACCAGGCAGATTGTAATTTAATGTGTTCAGACAATGAAACTACTAGACATGTTATTGAAACCATCACATAAAGAATGTTTTATAGGAGCAAAAAGTACCATGACATAAAGAATGTTTTATAGGAGCAAAATGTACCATGATATAAAGAATGTTTTATAGGAGCAAAAAGTACCATGACATAAGGAATGTTTTATAGGAGCAAAAAGTACCATGATATAAAGAATGTTTTATAGGAGCAAAAAGTACCATGACATAACAAATGTTTTATAGGAGCAAAAAGTACCATGATATAAAGAATGTTTTATAGGAGCAAAAAGTACCATGACATAACGAATGTTTTATAGGAGCAAAAAGTACCATGATATAAAGAATGTTTTATAGGAGCAAAAAGTACCATGATATAAAGAATGTTTTATAGGAGCAAAAAGTACCATGATATAAAGAATGTTTTATAGCAGCAAAATTGAAAAATCACCATGACAAAGAATGTTTTATAGAAGCAAAAAGTACCATGATATAAAGAATGTTTTATAGGAGAAAAAAGTACCATGACATAAAGAATGTTTTATAGGAGCAAAAAGTACCATGATATAAAGAATGTTTTATAGCAGCAAAATTGAAAAATTACCTTGACAAAGAATGTTTTATCGAAGCAAAAAGTACCATGATATAAAGAATGTTTTATAGGAGCAAAAAGTACCATGATATATAGAATGTTTTATAGGAGCAAAAAGTACCATGATATAAAGAATGTTTTATAGGAGCAAAAAGTACCATGATATAAAGAATGTTTTATAGGAGCAAAAAGTACCATGATATAAAGAATCTTTTATAGGAGCTAAAAGTACCATGATATAAAGAATGTTTTATAGGAGCTAAAAGTACCATGACATAAAGAATGTTTTTAAAAGTACCATGACATAACGAATGTTTTATAGGAGCTAAAAGTACCATGATATAAAGAATGTTTTATAGGACTCAGGAGCAAAAAGTACCATGATATAAAGAATGTTTTATAGGAGCTAAAAGTACCATGACATAAAGAATGTTTTATAGGAGCTAAAAGTACCATGACATAACGAATGTTTTATAGGAGCAAAAAGTACCATGACATAAAGAATGTTTTATAGGAGCAAAAAGTACCATGATATAAAGAATGTTTTATAGGAGCAAAAAGTACCATCACATAAAGTATGTTTTTATCTTCCTCTTTAGTTGACAATCCAAGCCATTGTGACTTTGTTCGTCTACGTCAGATGTTAATCAGGTAATGATTGATACGTATAATTACATAACTGATCTGTCTAATGACATAATTGATCTGTCTAATGACATAATTGATCAGTCTAATGACATAATTGATCTGTCTAATGACATAATTGATCTGTCTAATGACATAATTGATCTGTCTAATGACATAATTGATCTGTCTAATGACATAATTGATCTGTCTAATGACATAATTGATCTGTCTAATGACATAATTGATCTGTCTAATGACATAATTGATCTGTCTAATGACATAATTGATCTGTCTAATGACATAATTGATCTGTCTAATGACATAATTGATCTGTCTAATGACATAATTGATCTGTCTAATGACATAATTGATCTGTCTAATGACATAATTGATCTGTCTAATGACTTAATTGATCTGTCTAATGACTTAATTGATCTGTCTAATGACATAATTGATCAGTCTAATGACATAATTGATCTGTCTAATGACATAATTGATCTGTCTAATGACATAATTGATCTGTCTAATGACATAATTGATCTGTCTAATGACATAATTGATCTGTCTAATGACATAATTGATCTGTCTAATGACATAATTGATCTGTCTAATGACATAATTGATCTGTCTAATGACATAATTGATCTGTCTAATGACATAATTGATCTGTCTAATGACATAATTGATCTGCCTAATGACATAATTGATCTGCCTAATGACATAATTGATCTGTCTAATGACATAATTGATCTGTCTAATGACATAATTGATCTGTCTAATGACATAATTGATCTGTCTAATGACATAATTGATCTGTCTAATGACATAATTGATCTGTCTATTGACATAATTGATCTGTCTAATGACCTAATTGATCTATGGCATGTCAGGTTGCTGTTGGAATAAACCTATAAATTTTAAACCAGTGCTTTTAAGTTCATGTTAGTGTGACCCATGTGGGTGACCCAGGTCATGAGACCCATGTGGGTGACCCAGGTCATGTGACCCGTGGGAAGTGTGGTGATACCATCTAGTAATAAATCCATAGACAAAACACACCATTACAAAATGTGGTCAGAGAGTTAATACATGTGACCATAGTTTAATTAAGGCCACAAACTAACGAGTATTCTAACAACTGACCATAGTTTAATTAAGCCCACAAACTAACGAGTATGCTAACAACTGACCATAGTTTAATTAAGCCCACAAACTAATGTGTATGCTAATTAAGCCCACAAACTAACGAGTATGCTAACAACTGACCATAGTTTAATGAAGCCCACAAACTAACGAGTATGCTAACAACTGACCATAGTTTAATTAAGCCCACAAACTAATGTGTATGCTAATTAAGCCCACAAACTAACGAGTATGCTAACAGCTGACCATAGTTTAATTAAGCCCACAAACTAACGAGTATGCTTACAACTGCCTGTTCTACCCAGCACCCATATGCAGGATTTGAAAGACGTCACCTCAGATGTTCACTATGAGAATTACAGAGCCATGCACATACGGACGCAGATGGGGGTGGCACAGAAGGAAAGAGGGTAATCATTTTAGTAGTCGTTTGTCTAATTTTATTCAGTCAAGTTTGTCTAATTGTACTTTTAAAAACATGAAATATCAAGGTTGGTTAGTTTCTTTTCTTAACTAATAAATAAATATCGAATCTGCCTTCATAAAAAAAATTGAGTTTTATAAAAAATTTACAACAAATTATTGCCATGGTTTTTGAGAGCTTTTTTTTTTATAATTTTATATTGTCAGAATATGTATTAGATTGGTGCCATGTCAGAACAATGTTTTTTCTTCAACTGCGCAGCAAAATGTACTTGTCCTTGTAGCTACTCAATGTTTTAGTGTTATCTTCACATTCCAACAAAATTGCTAAGAACTGAGTTGTGCTGACTAGAATAATTTACATTTTTTAGTAAGCTCAAGAGGGACTCTGCTCCAAACTTTGAATCCATTTCTGACACAGAAAAACTTTTGGAACAGAAAGATGCCGAAGTATGTTTTTTTTAATACTTTATTTTACTCTAAAAGACAACTTGTATTCACAAAGCTTTTAACCAAGAAGTTACTGTTTATTATATTTTTTAAACATATCAGTGAAGACCAATTAACAAATTAATATTATTTAGCAATCAATATATGTTGATCCAAATGTGAAGTTTTTTATTTGTTTTTTTTTAAGTCCATTCATCAAAATACTTGATTAAAAAATCCCGCTGACCTTTGTCTGACCCCCTCCCTCCCCTTTCCCAGATTCAAAGAATGCAGCAGATGCTAGCCAAGATGCAGGAACAGCTGAAGATAGGTTCCCCCCAGGCGCAGCACGTCAACGGTCTAGGTAAATTATGATAGGCCACAGCCATGTTACTTAACACCTCGGGTCCAGTGGCCACTGGAACCTAACTCAGTGGACGTTTTCTATTGCAATGTCATTGGTGTACTTGTATCATTCATATACACGGATTGTTATTTTCAAAGATCATTTGTCTGCGCTCTAACTATCCACTTAGTTTAAAAACATGGAACATTTAAAATAATTCAGAATCCATATTGTTTTCTTTGCAATTTATTAAAAATAGCGCAGCAAATTTTTTAATTAACATGTAGCACTTTTGTATTTAAAAATTGAATGCAAATCTACATTTGTATGAAAATGGTTACCTCTAAGAAACATGAAAATAAAAGACGGTGGCCGAAGTTGTGACTGAAACTCAATTACAACATGGAGCAGTGACCCTGCCCCGCTGCATAATACTTAACCCAACATGAGTGCAAGTTCAAGGTTACCAAGTGTTAAAACTGATGTCTTAAAAGTTTGTAAATATCTGTATCTCACAAATGGCTTGGAAAAGCGTGTTTTAATTGATTATTATTATAAAGGGCAAAAAAAATTCAAATTAGTTTTAAAATGTATTTTATTGGTAACTATATATCTGTAATTGGTGTTTCTCACAAAGTAATATGACAGGAGTAAAATATTTCATTGATTAGAACTTTACATTGAAGTAAAATTGGCCTGGATATATTTGGGTTGTGCACGTGTTATAATGGACCACAACAACAACCCAAGTCGCAGCTCTATTCCTTCTGTGTGTTCTTTTATCCCGATCACATACAATTTATTTTTGTGCCATTTGGGAAACATATACTCCTACTTATCATTTAAACTCCAGGTAATTTCTTGGGCTAATTATTTCTTTAGAAATATTGCTTAGCTCTCTGTACAGAAATTTTTTTAATACCATCAATGTTGTTGTCTGTACTTGTGTGAGATTTATTTGTATTGTTTAATTCATCTTTTACTGTTACATATAATTGTTAAAATATATTAACTGACCAATATATATACCATAATTTGTACATAATTGTTGTGAATTAGATGGCAATTTCTTTACATAATGCACAAGACTTTAGTTTTGTTAAATATCATTAGTCACTGATCAGCAAAATTTCTAGACAGTCCCGGTTAACTTTTGGTACGGGCTGTTTCAAGAGATCACATGATGCTAGAACCAGAATTGTCCTCAATAACCATAGTAAGTTGTAACTAGCAGTCTATGAATTTTGGTAATAAACCATTTGTTTGTCACATGGTCTTTATGTTGATTTGTTTCTGAGTTAAATAAAATACAAACAACACTAATATTTGAAAAAGGTTTTTTATTGTTCAAAGCATCAATTTTCACTTCGACACAAGTCAGAAAAAAATACCTTAGTCCACAAATGTCATTTTATGTTTGTGTTAAATATACAGTAGCACACAAAAACCATTGGATTGCTCTTAATGTGTCTACACAAACATCACATAAAAGTTGACTGAAATGTTACTGTCTACTGTCCAGCAATCCATGTCAAATGTTATTCACTATTCAGAGACCCCCCCCCCTCCTATCATCTCTGGGACACTAGAAATTTAATTTATCCTAACTAAAGTGTAAAGAAAGTGAGAGATATGAAAAAATGCAATGAGTACAACATTAATAAGGAGAATGACAGAACAGATCATTTAACACAAAATCTGCACATCAATATTCCTGTGTTTAATTTACTTGAGTCTTAAAAACAGTCAATTCTATACAACATTCCAAGTGCAATAGTACTATAAATCTCCCAGGAATAAACTGAAATAAATCGGCCAGTCAACAGAGTTGCAACTTAAAACAGTGGGCAATCCTAACCGTATAAACAGGCAACAAGTTTGTTTAAAGATCTTCTTCATCATCAGGCAGGGCTGTTTCTTGTGCCACCCTCAATTCATCTTCATATTTACGAGCAAGAGCAGCATCCATCTGGACTTCTGGTGGGATGAGAGCAGGCATTTCAACAAACTCCAGATTGGGGTCTCCTACCAATTTCCTTGCCAACCACAAGAAGGGTTTCTCAAAGTTGTAATTACTCTTTGCACTGATGTCATAGTACTAGAATAGAGGGAGGAAAGTTGCGTGTTAGAGACAACCTCACTAGGCTACTCTGTTTTGTCAACCAAACTAATTCATGCCATCTGTAAAGGACCCATACCACTTCAGTACCAGCCCATGGTGATATACTGATATTTAGGTGGTTTGATAATCATAGTAGATTGTAAACTTTCAAAAGCTGAATGTAGATAACAGACACTAATCTAAAAAAGATTCATTTAAGAAAAAACAAATCCATTAACCTTAAATTAAGAAATCGTAAAACTTGCAACAAAACATTGAAATTACTGGGTTAGGGAAAAAATAAAGGGACAACACCAATCACAAATAGCAATTGCATGTGCTATGACACATGCTATAGGACTGCTGATATATAATATGAACACACCCAAATGAACCCTCCACACATTAAGATTTTTTAAAACAAGAACGCCATACATTCACGTTGTAGACTTTATGAATTTGAATATTTCTTTATACACTATATTTTAAACTTCCATTTAGATCTACAAAATGTGTTTTTAAATATATGTATCGCTTACACTCTCACCACTAAATCTAGATATAAGTACAACTTGTCGATCAACGGAAAAACAAAAATTGCTGTTCTGGGAATTTATGGGCAGCCCCTCAATTAGCATATCTTTTTGGTAAATTAGCATTGAAAAGGAAACATGGGCCTGAGGACGCTTTACAACTTATTTGTACAAGTTTTTGTAGGATAAGCACTAAAATATTAAGTTGAAAACAAACCAATTATTTTTCTCTATATGCCCAACGTTCTTCCATCATTAAAAGCACAAATAATTGTGATACATACCTGCAAGTTCTTCTTCCTATGGAAAACGATTGTTTTGGCTTTGACTTTCCTGTCTTTAATATCCACTTTGTTACCACAGAGCACAATAGGTATGTTTTCACAGACTCTGACCAAGTCTCTGTGCCAGTTGGGAACATTTTTGTATGTGACGCGAGATGTGACATCAAACATGATAATGGCACACTGACCTACAAGAAAAATGAGGTGGCATCAATAACTGGCTCCTTCAAACCATAAATACAACAATGGCTGCTTTATGCCTCAGATTAGAGGGACATGCATTGCTTCAGGCTATTTCAGAAACATGTGATCATCACAGGCATCAAAAGGGCCTTCTGTTAAGACCTAATAGTGTAAATAAAAACAGTCAGGAAACCACAAACCTTGAATGTAATAACCATCTCGAAGGCCTCCAAATTTTTCTTGACCAGCAGTGTCCCAAACATTGAACTTTATGGGCCCTCTACTTGTGTGAAAAACTAAAGGGTGGACCTCAACTCCCAAAGTAGCTGAAATTTAAAAATAAAAGCCCTCAAGTTAAACACAAAACAGTGTACAATATATTTGCAAATAGGCCTAAAGCACTGAATTAACACCAAAAGTAATTCTCAAAAAATAAAAAAAAAAAAATTAGAATGCATATATAAAGACTTTCAGGTGATCTTTAAATAGCAATAATAATACAGAGCATATGGAATGGTTAAAAAGTAGTGTAGTGAAAGCATGTTTATCCTAAATTTCTAAAACAGCCATCCAAGGAAAACTTCATTATTGTACTCCCATCTGACATCAAGCATTTTGTGGGGTCTAGCCACCGCTCAGAATCATGTAGAGCCCTTGAAGCTGACTATATAACATTACCCAATAAGAACACTTGAGTTAACAGGGAACTTAGAATCTGAGCTCCACAGTACAATTTGAATATTTTAAACTTACCAACATATTTCTTTTCAAACTCTCCAGTCTTGTGACGCTTGACAAATGTAGTCTTACCCACACCACCGTCTCCAACAAGAACCAACTGTTAAAGAAAAATTTGAAAACTCCCTTAAGCTTATATCAGTTATTACTAAAATAATTTTGAAACAAGTTAAATAGACCTTAGCTACAATGAACTACAAGCAAAAAGTACCTTAAAAGTGGGTATATCGTCCATCTGCGCCATTGGTACTGTAAAAAAAATATTTGATATTTGTTTAAACTAAATTGTAGGCTACAAAATTTTCTTCTTTAAAGCCTAATTGGTGAAAAGTTTAAATCATTGCAAAGCATATAGATCTAAATTTGAGAAAAAATTAGCATCCTACCACCCATGTAAACTAACCTTAAATTTTAATATTTAACCCGCTGATCATCTCTTGTAAAAAAAAAAAACCAAATGCCTGGATTTTCTAAAATTTGAAGACCATCAGATCACATTTTGTGTCTATGCTGTTCATTCCACCCCTTAACATATTTATATGTGCCTATAGGTTTATTTAGGCTGGGTTTAAATAGACCTAATGTGCAAAAAAAAAAAAAAAAAAAAAAACTGCTTTTGAAAAAAATCCAGAGGCAGGCACTTGTGAGGCACTATAATTCAATTCAACACGGACCGTGAAATGCCATTTGAATTCACTAAAATATTTTCCTGCCAAGACTCAACCTTCAAAACCGATCAATCGCAGATTTACTATTTGTAACAGCTGGCGATTATGAAGGTTGTATGGTCAAATCTATCTAGATTTTAGAACCTAGATCTAGACTAGAATCTAGATTAGATCTAGCTAGATTCTAGATCAATTTTTCACTTGTGTTATCAAAAGCAAGCTAGAATCTATATTTTAGATAGTAGATCCAAAGCCGGAGAATTTACCATTGTCCAATAATGGAATGTTTGAAAAAGGGGTGTTAGGTTACTGGTAGTTAACTAAATACACACATGGCTGGCTAATGTCAATGCTAACCCTGTCCCTAACCCCAACCCTGGTCCTACCATATGCCTTACCCTAATTTCTAACCATAAAATTAGTCAAGATTAAAGTAGATTTCCACACGCGATCACACATAGCGAAAAATTCTGAACTCCCAATTTTCATCTGGCGCTATTTTGTAACAGTTTCACACAGAAACAAAACGAAAATACTGTATTACTCTGCTGCCATTTTACTATAATATGTGTAAGTCATTTTGTATTCCTACGCATAGAATTTGAGATATTCATGTTTTAGTGGCTTCACTACTAGCAACATTCCCCCCCCCCTCTTTCTATCACACGATCGCCTGCACCTGCTCGCGTAACGATAGTATTTTATACGTCTTAATCCAATTTCAATAGGCCTAGCTAAAATAAATAATTTAGGCCTACAACTTTAAACGTGTTGTTGATTGTATTATTAATTAATAGACTGCAAAACCAAATAAAAAACACTTTAAATTTATTAACTACACATCACGGATGACCCAGTGATAACTCAAGGGGTGCAACTTTAATAATCATAACAAAGGGACGTAACAATTACTAACAAGATAAAACCTAACATTTGCTAAGACATGAAGTAGATGATCAAAATAATTAAAACAGAAAAATTTATTATCTATAGTAGGGATTTAGGTAAAAAAAACACTAATCATCATATAAAAATAAAAATTACATATTCTTGTAGAGCTCAACAAAATGAAAACAAAACAAAAAAGATTTTCTGTCTAGCTCAAATAGTTTTTTTTTGGCGAATTTTTTTGTGAGGGGTAGAATCCCCTTGCTTTTGCATTGGCCAATTGTGACAAGTCATGGTATACCTGAATAAATTGAGCATAGTTATTTTACTTGCAGTTGTATTTTGTTCATATTTGCAGAGTTTAACTAGAATGATATATAGAACTTGTAAATGCTGTTGAAATTAATAAAAATAATACAGAACTTATATTTTTGTGTTGGCTTCCTCCCATAACCCCAAAAAACTGTGTGCTGCGCAAATATGAAAATGTTTCTAAAGCCCTATTTTATATAAATACAGCAAATGAAAGAACTACAAAGTTAGAAATCTAAAGTAAATGACTTGAACACTGTTATGTGCATATAATTGCCTCATTATTTTGGGCAGGTGAAGTAGAGTCCATCTTTAAGCCATTTTGTTATAAAACTGCTGCGCAAATATGAAAATGTTTCTAAAGCAATATTTTATATAAATACAGTGAATGAAAGAACTCCATAGTCAGAAATCTAAAGTAAATGACTTGAACACTGTAATGTGTCTATAACTGCCTTGTTATTTTGTGGAGGTGAAGTAGAGTCCATATAAAAGCCATTTTGTAATAAGTGAAATGAAGTTATCAGATCAATGTTTTTATGTGTGTATTGTGTATGGATTCTGATTTTCAGCATATAACTATATCTAAGGGTAAGTAGAACTTGAATACTTAAAATTACAGTTAGCACAATGCTAGTGTATAGCAACAGACAGGTAACCTAGATCTAGGTCAGACTCTGGTCAGTCTAGAGTCTAGTCTGACAAAATTGGATTTTTAGGAAAAACATATTCTGCAAAACTAGAACTAGAGCTGAAAAAATTAAAGATGGGTATGTAAATATATTTTGAAATAAAAAATTAGATTTGTTTGCACATGCCATAAGAATGCTGTTATTAGTTGATCAAACTTAAAGGCAGGAAGATCGGGATGAAAAAATATAACAATGGTGGCAGCGTGACCTACATACAGTGACTACGTTCGGAGGGGTATAACTAATGTCGGAGTCAAAATATCCAAAAACAAATTTCATTTCCAATTACTTAAGATATGTCTGATCAGTAATCTACTCTCATCTAGAGGAATCCTTTAAAAAATCGAGATTCCAACGTATTTGAAACTAACCTTGATACAGAGGGAAGACCAAAGCAGAGACAGCATGCAATCAGGTCGCAAAAGCCATTAAAACTAAGGGACAACCACTCTACTTTTTAATTAACCTTAGGAAATGACCTTTTAAACTTAATTAATTACCATAAATTAAAAACTTATTAGTATGCAAAACCAAATCTCGTGGGTCCGGTATCAGAAAGTAATGGGCGATTTCGGGTCATGTTTTTACCGCGAACTCGGCGGATGCCGACAACCCTATCTATAGGCCTACAGATTCTGTAGCTTGAAATATAGAGCATCTAGATCTAGGCTAGTCTAGCTCAAGTCATTGGTTATGCTGCGAGGATAAACCACCCCAATCTGCGGCCACCCCCATTTGACCTCTCAGGTTGCTTTAATAGCTTTAGCTATAGTATAGGCTTATACAGTGTCCCGCACATATGTAGAAGCTATTTATAGTTTACCTAATTATAAACACCTTTGATTGGTTGTTGTTATGTCTCCACCCGGACCTAGTGTTTTCATCCGGGGGATTTGGGATCGCTGGCTGACGTTATACCTCAGCTTAAAAATTTAAAAACCTGTCTTTCAGAAGGAGAAAGCAAAAGAATTTGACCTGGATATATTTAGGAATGGACATGCGTACAGCAGATACAGGTAGTTTCGTATAAAACATTCAAACAATTATATTATACGAAGCAATAAACAGACCATCACTTCGTGGCTTGACCGCGCAAAGGAAATCTACTCTAGATCTACAACTAACAACCAACACACCTATTTTATGGAAGAGTCTTGTAGTTGTCTTAGTAAATATTAGGTAAAACTCCACTTTAGCACATTTTATTCTCCGCTTCTTGTTTACCTACAGTTGAGGTTATTATAATAACCGAAACACACCAAAACATGAGGAAAACACAACTTATTAATTTGTATTGTATCTTTGTTTTAACAATTGAATAAAAATAAATAAAAAACAATGAGACTGACTTTGTTTTAGATTTTGATAATTTACTTTTGTCAAAACTTGAGAAAAATCCAAATTTAGAATATTGAATGTGCTGTGTGTCAGAATTTTCATGGCAATAGGTGAAGTACGTAGATCTAAACGTAACTCACAATTGCAAGGCGGTTAAGTTTGTATTGTTACAAGTATCTCCCAGGCATGATACTATAAATAAACATTTATGAACTGACAATGACCCCAAAACTGAGGCCAAAACAATTTCAAACAGCTATTGCCCGAGCTATGACGTATGCTGATAATTAAAGTCAATGTGAACTCACGGTGAACCCTTGACCGTTTAAGGATTTTTCTCCTGCTGACGATCACACGCACGCTATGTAATTGGGACAGTTCTAATGCTTTTTTGGCCAATGCTAGCAGGGATGCGATACGCATGCGCAATGGACAGAAACTACGACTTGCCTTCGCGGCAATGTTTTCGATGGTACTGTGCATGCGTGTGTGTTTACAGCCGCAGAACCCTAACACCAACTCTAATCCTAGCCATAGGTCACTGCGCATGGGCAGAGCTATCTTTTACCGACTAAGTGGTGACGTTGGGGAGAAAAATCTTCAGAGTAATCACTTCGTTTTTTTACCTTTTCTAATAAAAATCACATTCATTAAAAAAAAGGTCTAGATCTAGAGATCTAGTGTTTTCCAAACGTTTTTGTAGGCCGTTCGATTCACAGCTTCCGGGTTTGTTGTTTTGAAGCCATCTCATGGCTCATGCGCTTACCAAAAATGGCGACCAGTTTCGCTTTCACTAAACGGTAGAGGGATAAAACTAATAATAACGAGGCCATCGTTAATTTTAGACATCGGAACTATCCGTTTCTATTTCAGTCTGTTATTTAAGAATTCCCAGATGTACTTTTGACCTAATTTCTTTATTTGTATTTAACGAGGCCGTCGAGAGAAAGTCACGCTTACTTAGCTTGCGTTTCAAGTCGAATAAACTAAAGCAGGTGCGTTATCCAATAACTTTTTTATTAGACCCAATTTTTATAACATCTTTACTATCAAATAAAAATAGAATTGTTTAATATAATTAGGCTGACAACAATGCTTTTCATGCTGTAAGTAATAATGCCATTTTATTATATTCTTGTTTGGTGAAAACGAGGCGCGGGAAAATGTGTGCCGCGTAAGAATCCAATCATTTGGCTAGATTTATGACTGTTTTTTATGTCACACCTAAAAATAGAATGTTTACGCTTTCTTCGTTGATGATCGTTTTTATTATTTTTTAAATTGAAAGTATGAATTATTAGTTAGATTGCAGATTTTGTAACTTGGTATACTTACCCTTTATCAATTTTAAAAACATAGCATGCTGATTGTAAACAAATATAGTCATAAAACACAGAAATATAAAGTTATAATTGCGATGTGCCACACCCCCTCAAGAAAGCATGTGTTTATTAAGCTGTTTATCTTACTTTACAACTGTAATTAAAATTAATTTTCAAATTTTTATCACTTATTGGGTAAGATTAAGCACATGTTTACCAAAAATAAAAAAAATAAAAAAGCAAATTCTGTTTTAATGAAGGTCACGGGTGAAGTTTTTTTTTCCTTCTGTCACGTTCAGTGGAGGGTGCCACAGGCTGACCTGACTTTGGAATTTTTTTCAGTAATAATGACTTTGCACAGAAAGTTAAAATATGCTAAATTAGCTTAGTTTACTAGTGTTCTAGCTATTATTGATACATTTTTAATAAAAAAAATCATTCTGTAATTCTCATCAAAAAGCCTAGTTTTTGTGTGTTACGGTTGTGTTTATAATAAAATACGCTAAATGGAGGTGAACGTGAAGCGGGGAAATAAAATACATACGCTAAAATGGAGGTTTACCTAGTCTAGATTTCTAAATATTATTTACTCTAGTCTAGATATTTAAATAAACGGAAAACTAGAGCCTAGATCAACTCTAGCCTCTTTAAATGTAGAATCTAGATTTCTAGTTTCTAGGCTAGGCTAGCTAGACGATCTTAAGTCTTAATCGGTAGGGAGATCGTATTTTCTAGATCCTAGAATAGATATCTAGATCTAGTAACTAGACCTACATTTTCATCAAATGAATTTTATTTTAAAATGTTTAAAGTCTAAAATGATCTAGAGTTTAGATCTGCATACATTTTACTGAAGTCGTACAAATTTTAGATTAGCTTATTTGTAAAGGGATCCAATTCTCGAATTTTCACTGAACAAAGAAAACAATGAACGAGAAAATATTATCATTGTAACCTTTTTACATCAGGGTAGAGTATTTGTCAATGTAAATTGCATACTTACAAAACTTAAATGTAAGAGATGAGAAGGATTGAAAGCGATTAGTAAAATAACTCACTCTGGGCCTAACGAGAGGATATTTCAGTTACAGAAAAAGTACAAGGCAGTTTCTTCCGGTTTTGGCGCGATTCGCAGTTCTTTAACTTTATCTTCCTGTGGCCTATAACCTTTAGTTATTTCCCTTGATTGCAACACAGCTGATCGAAAAGATCTAGAATTTAGTAGAATCTAGCTAGGCTAGCTTCAGCCCAGAACTACAAAAATAAGAAATGATCTCTCATAGTTAGTCATATGAGATATAATGCATTGTATCCAGGTCTTGTTTAATGTGTATATGACATGCCAAATTAGCTTTCAATGAAAGCCGCATTTTATTAGGCCCCTAGCCTACTTATTTTATTTTGGAGTTGTGGCTAGTTTGATCCAGTACTGGGCAGTGCTGAGTAGGCTCAGACTCAGCTACCAAAAATAATTAAAATATAAATAATAAATTATCAAATCTTTTAATCTAGGTTGTAATTAGTCATTACTAATTTTAGTTAACCTATGATGAGTTAGCGTCAGTCTAGACTCTAGAACTCTATTCTAGATCTAGATTAGATAAAGTAGCTATGCTACAAACTACAAATTGTACAATGAGCTAGTTAGCTCGTGTCCGGACCGTCCTAGCTTACTAGATCTAGATCTACTTACTACTGAAGTAAGCCACTAGCTTGGCCTAGTCTAGCCTAGTAGAATTATTAGTTGGGGGTGGGTAGATCCAGTGTTTCTTCCAGACTTTTTTCTCCGTGGGGGGGGGGGAGGGGGCACTTGATATTTTCGGGGGGCGGACACTAGTAAAAGTGTATGTTTACTATATAAATTCCATCTCGTTTGGGGGGGGGGAGCAGAGCCTGGAAGATACTCTAGGATAGATCTAGAAATGAATATTAAAACATTTTGTGACAAGGGGTGTAGTTTCAGTTCAGCATTTGAATTTGTGAGGACAATTGTTGAAATGACGGAATTACAACCAGTATGATGAATATTTCACTTTTTTTTAAAAGTTTTTTTTCCTATTTTACTCGATCTTGTCCCAACACAGTTGGTATTTTTATTAAAAATTTAAAAAATACACAAGTTGCTATATTGATGGTGATAGGCTGAGGTGGGACATTATTTATGGAGGAGGTTTGACTATTCATTTGTTTGGGAAGGTAAAAAAAAATTATTTTAAAAAAAATGTCCACACTATCCCCTTGACACAAACTCGGTGAAACCATTGAGTGTATGTTAAACAGTATCTACAACTGCCTGTGTTTTAGGCTTGTTGCAGAGCGCTCTTTTGATAAAAAGATAGAGATAAATACAGATATGTTCCTCTTCTCAACCTAATCATATTGAATCATGTATTATATCTTTACATCTAATGATTTAGTCAAAAGAAGCATTAGGTTGTAGAGAACAAGAGAAATGAAAACAACTTTTTTAAGACGTCTTATCAAACAGCACACTAAGCTCTCTAGACAACACTTAACCCCAGAAATAAATCTAAATCTCATAACACCGGAGTGCTCCTTGTGGACAGCAAACCCTGAGGAATGTCCCTTCCAAGATCCATTTTGGGCCTTCTACTGGCCAGGTGGACAAGCATTAACCAGGTGGTTGTACAATTTTAAATTAAATTAATGCTGTAAAACTTAGTTTTTTCCATGTTAAGCTAGAGCATTCAATGTTCACAATTTACCATATGCTATTTGTTATTTTTATGACCAATGATAATATTATTTTATTGAAAGTTTCAACCCTACAACTGCCCTGCTTGAATCCCTTAGTTTATCAAATGTAGTCACTAGACAGTTCACTTTTTCAAATATAGTCACTAGAAAGTTCACTTTTAAAAATATAGTCACGAGACAGTTCACTTTTTCAAATATAGTCACTAGACAGTTCACTTTTTCAAATAGAGTCACTAGACAGTTCACTTTTTCAAATATAGTCACTAGACAGTTCACTTTTTCAAATATAGTCACTAGACAGTTCACTTTATCAAATATAGTCACTAGACAGTTCACTTTTATACTATACTGTGGTGGGTATCATTGTTGATTTGATAAAATGATAATGCTTTTAATTTTAATGATTTAAAACATCAAGATTTTTATTATTTCTTTTATGATAGTATTAACGTGAATCTGCACATCCTGATATTCTTGTTTTTCTACCAGATATATATTTGACAATCCAAGTTTGTTTTGGAAGAAATCCATCCTGGATATTGGAAGTGGGTGTGGGTCTGCTGCCCTAGCATGTAAACTAGTTGGTGCAACTCAAGTTGTGGCTAATGATATTGATCCAGGTATACTGAGTGTAACAGGAACATGTTTAGTCTATTTTTTAGTGATTATCAACTGTATTTTTACAAGCTTTTATTTAACTTGATTCCTCTGGCATGCTTGCCTGTTGTCATGGGTGTGAACATGATTTCATCCACTTCTACTAAAACTAGGTTAGGATATGATGATAATACAACATCATGATAGAATGAGATGTTTATATACCTAGATAAAATTAATTAAGATTGATATAGTAGTTTTAGTCTCATAATTTGATTTTCTTGATGCAAAAACGTAAAAACTTAATTAAAAGCATTTTTACTAACAAGAACAAAACATGATTTTCTTTAAATATAACGATGCACCACTGTTCCTAAAACTATAAAGAAAAGAACTGGTCATTCATAACATTTTAGGAAGTGTAACAAATTGACTAAATATTAAGAAATTTGTAAGAAATTTATCGTTTGTAGTTTTATAAGAGCATACTATTTTAGTTGGTGCATTTTATATGAATTTAAGCATTAGTACCTACAAATTACCAAATGTTAAATACTTTTCTTTATATAAATGCTATTATATTTTAAGAAAATAATTATAGTTTCTTCCTTCTAGTGCATTAATGAAAGCTTGCTATTATATATTTTTAGTAATTTTTGGCATTTTCAACTCAGAGCACTGTTGGTAGTAACTGTCACATTATTAAACGTTGAGGGGAGATGACTCTCAATTTGACAACACTGCACTATGCCAGCTAAGACCATGTTTGTTTACCTTTCAGTGGCAGCTGTAGCAATTCAAATGAACATGGAGGAGAACTCAGCACAAATCAGCATTGACACATCCAACCTCCTCAACTCTCCACTCAAACAACATTTTGACATTTTACTCATGGGAGATATGTTTTATGACGCAGATTTTGCTCACTCTATAGATGCCTGGTTATGCTCTATTGACTATGGATACACCGCCTTCATTGGGGACCCTGGACGTTTAGCATTTGATCAACACCCAATGAAGACTTTGCTGAAACAAGTGGCAGAGTATCAATTGACAAGAATTTGTCAGATTGAAAATAAGGGCATGAGTAGTGGGAAAGTGTGGATGTTGAAACCATCCTGACATGAAGGACTGGAAGAAATACTGGACAAGGAACAAAATAAACCATCTTATTTTCTTTTATTGATCATGGTGTTGTACATACAATTAAACATCAGTAATAAATTTGTACACCTTTTTCTATGTAAGAATCCTATATTAAAAAAATATTTGTAACTAACATTTATACCAGTACATGTCATTAGCATTATATATTACAAGGTAAAAAAAAATATGTATAAATCAAGTTTGTAAAAATTATTTCAACCTTAAAGCAAAAGAAATTCAAGAAAATATAACCACTGGTCTAAATGCTATTATAAGAAGAAATGAAATGACTGACAAGGGATAAAAAAATATAACAAGGGGGAATTTATTTTTTTTAAATCACAAAACTTAGGTAAAGGGAATTGTTGAGAAACAAATAGTTGTTGAAACATGTGCTACCCTACCCACTGAGTACAGTGTTTTAACTTTCCAACAGGTGGATCTACAAGAGAAGAAAACACATTACAAATTACACGTTCTTATTTGCCTCAACAAATTAGCATGGGTTCAACAAGGTAAAAATAAAGAGTATTTTTCAAGTTATTGTTCAAATATACTTCCTAGAATATGCTGACTTTGAAAAATAAAATTGTAATATCTTTTTAAAAAGCATATTATGCACCAACATTGTGCCAAAGTTTGTAACAAGCTTTGTAAGAGAATGAAATAAATAGAAGAAGAAAAAAAATGGCTGCATAACTGTAATCACAGAGATGGTCTACAAGTGTGTACGACAAGCTACACAGTTCACATGAGCACCACTGCCAACAGAAATTTCTTTTTTTACTAGACAACAGATTTGTATAGCGCTAGATCTAGCTTTAGTACACACAACAATAAAGTTTGGTGACAGCCACTGGACAACAGTTGATCAAACTAAAGCTGGCATTGGTTTCCAGATACATCTAGTTCAGTTGGGCAAAAACAGGTCAGACTCAAAGTTTGACACAAAAACTGACTGAAATATAGTATCGTCCATACATTTTTTGGGCAAACAGCCAGCATAAATAAAATTGGTCAACATATTCATTTCTTAATACAAATGTTATGAAAGTTTAAAGAAATGAGTTTAACAAATAAAAACTTGATAGAGATTTAGAAATGTGTAGAAACCGTTGACACTAAATTATCAATGAGCCTAATGCCAAGACAGTCTAACCCAACAGTGCAGACTGTAAGACTTGATGGAATGTTGGCATCAAATAAAACAAACTAGCCTTCACTAAAACAACTAATTCTTACGCATTATGTCAAAAGTTGATTGATGGAAAGTGTTTTGGAATGATGTCAGCTATAATCAAAAGTAATGCGACAACAAGTTCTATCTAGCAAGCTGAGGATGCCCACCCCACAGGAAGACTAGGTTCCCTACACATGACAGGTATACTGTCAAACAATCGTACACAAGCTGAAATATAGCGCAAGCTATTTAAAAATTTACATTTTTTTAAAAGCCACCAAGGTACACATTGAGGACTTTGGTGTATACAACAAGACTGTTAAAAACATTTCTATCAATAATTTGTTCCAACATTCTAGTCACAATGGCCATTCATAACTCAGCCATGATGATACCTCAAGTACACAGCTCCCAGATATAGCAATAGAATAAATATCTAAATCAGATTTACATGTCAAACATAAAGAAACAGTCATGTACAATTTAAAAGTTAACAAATCCAATACACAAACAAGAAAAAAATTCATTGTCACTGGAACATCCTAAAATTTCTACCAGGAAAACAGAAGTTTGTGAGCATCCATAACATAAAATAAAAACTTTCTAGCTGACTCAAAGCCACAACAGTGAGCAAAATGAACAAGAGATTTATTGCTTCTCTAGACATGGGGCCAGCCATTAACAAGACTATGTACAGGAGCTATCTACACTCACTAGCAACCAGAATGTACAACAATGGTTCTACACTAACTTTTAACAATTAAAAACCACACAACTTGCTCAAGACAACAAGACTAGTTATTTATGTGTCTTTAGTATACTCACACCAAAACTATTCACTCAATTATTACTTCCAAGATGTCATTCTAACAAAGGGTACATAACAAATATTTTACTAATTTTTTATTAATAAATTATTATTAATAAATATTACTTTCAGCACATTTATAAATGTGTTGCCATCTTTCTTTAAAAAAAAACATCAGAGATTGAGAAGATGAACATTTATGCCAGCCATTGATTGTAACAACACCATAAGGCTGTACCTAACAGTCTACAACAGGTAGTCTCTGGGCTGGTCAATACACTGTCCACATAGGTGACAGTTCAAGGAAACAAATGACAGCCAACACCTGCACTAACAAGCTGCATGTACAAACAGCTAGACTATATGTCAAGACAACTCCGCTAGGATAGAAAACTCAGGAAGCTTTTAAACAGGATACATTTTGGATGGCATATGATGCATGACAAAAACATGGGCAAGAAAGGGTTAAAATTAAATACCACAATTGACCAGACTCATTCAAGAAATGTCCTTTGTTAAAAGCAAAAATTGCGTTTAAAAACCATGAATACTTGATGAGTAAAATGGTTAGTTACAAGATTGTATTGACTGGACTACACATGAACCTCTCAATAAGACATATACACAGCATGTACATCAAGGCTAGAAACCACGACATCACTAGCTAACTGCTGACAATCTGAAGGCAAGAAAGATGTACTTTCCATCAGGAGTCATGTATCACATTCAAGAAAATACATTTCTTCTAAAGATGAGGAAACAGTGGGTTACACAGTAGACTTGACTGGAGGCTAACCAGGGGGTGGGGGGGAGATTTATAACCCACAATGTTGGCCGTACACATATTTTATAATCCAAACATTAGCAGCAATGGTGGCCAGGGGAGGGATGGTGACACCCTTCAAACTTTAGGCCATCAATCACGAGGAGTGCCAACATGAGGCCAGGGTTAACTGGTTAGACAAGCCAGCACTAGTCTACTGTGTGAGACCAGGGTTAACTGGTTAAACAACTGGTTAGGTTAGCCAGCACAAGTCTACTGTGTGAGAGGCCCCAGCAGTGTAAAGAGTTGGACTATGTCTGCTGCCAAGTGTCCAGCCTCTGACAATACCTTCATCATCCCTACAACTTCTACTTCCATTGTAAAGTAGCATACAATTTATTTAAGGTTTCCTATTAAATGAATTAAAACATTGTCACATCCCACAAAAATGGTAATCATTCCAATGAAATGTTTCTAACAGTAAAAGACAAGTTAACAGCACTTTTTCTTAGCTTGCTTGGCAGCCCCAGGCCCCACACGTATTGTCTGGGCTGGTGGTTTCCTCGCTTCTTCCTGCATCTTGCGCTTCGACTCCAGAACTAACTTAGTAATTGCCATAAACATCTGAAATGTCAAGGGGAAACTGCTTCAAACTTTGTTAACAATAGTATTGTAACCATATATCTATTTCAAATTATAAAAACATATGCAGGTATATATATATATGTGTGTACAGGCATACTTTAAAAAACTTCCAATAAAAGTGAATAGTTTGCATAGCTCAACATTTACATTACTAAATGCTATAATGTAAAAACTTTTTTCTTCATAAAATAAGCAAGAGAATTTGAAGGCTGAATAGCATGCTCTATGGCAGGATTAGTGGTTAGTTCAACTGTTAGTCAAAGATTTACATTCTCTCATCTAGCCTGGGGCTAGCAGCACTTTTTCTTTTTCCTCGAGCCATCATGGAGACTGGGAATAATTTTATCCGATGCCTGATCGCGCTGTACCTGTTTTTTCTTAGTTTCCAATACCTGCTTTGTTATAGCCCTAAACATCTGCATACAATAAAAATATGGAAAAAATGTCAAGGATTAAATAGGGAAAATGTAACAAGCAGTGGGAACAATGAACATCAGTGGGGAGGAAACACAAAGACATGATGCAAAAAAACAAGTGGTTGACATTGGTGTGAGGGTAAGGAGTGTACCATTGACCAGTTGCTATGACAACAAAAACAACAGTGGTTGACATTGGTGTCAGGTAAGGAATGTACCATTCACCCATTGCCATGACATACTTTATTTCCTGCTTGACATGGTAAATACAGCCTCATTTTTGTTTACTGACACGTTGGTCACTTAAATAAATATTTTTCTTTCACAAGCTCGGCAGTAATACTGATTTTATTAAAACAAAATGTGCTTAGTGTTAAGCATATGCCATTTGTGGTGTATTTGTCCATATGTTAGGTATACTGGTGCAGGTAAAAATTAAATACTAAATAAACGTTATTTATAAAACTTGCTTTTTAAATAAAAGCATTAGTCGCTCATAAAATCTACACATTTTGGCTACCAAAACTTTTATTAAGCAAATTTTATATTCTTACTTTTAGTGCAATTAAAAGCTTATTATGATATAGTGTTTTATAAAATATTTTTATTTTCACTGTACCTAATTGGGCCTTCTCAAAAAAGTATCAAAATTTAGGTCGAAGCATACAAGTCAAATTGATGACCTGGTATACACAATTTTAAATGTGTATTCTACAATAAAACTAAAACAAGTATAAGAAAGCTTCATAAGATAGGAGAGCTGTGGATGGATCTGATGGTCTTACAACTTCCTAAACTAATATCAATAAATATGTATTAAAAAATGGCACACTGTTAAGTAAATAAGTAAATCAAACTGCACAAATAATTGTGCAAAGGTGCTTTAATAAAGTTCAGATAATTAATGCAAGACTTTAACCATTAACAAGTAAAACTGAAAAAATTTGGCACCAATTACCTCTGATTACTAGAAAAAGTGTTGCCTGTTTTAAAATAGGCAAGCAAAATAAAGACCCGTTTAATAAGTTTCCCAAGAACCTCTGTAAACATTCAATGTATTGGGTGGTGGTGGTGGTCAAGCCAGACATAATTAGAGCCACAACATAAATACAACATTTAAGCTGTGTAGATTTGTTTCAGTTCTATCCCTAAGAGTTTTTATCACATTACATTAATTATAATACTTAAGGATAATACATATGTAGAATGGTGATTGTTTTAGCGTAGCTTATGAAATTCTACTGTGGAATATAGCTAAAGCTAAAATTACAAGTGGTCATTTTTTAAACATCAAAATGTGTTTATAATTTAATGGGAAATAATATAGATTAATTCAGTTTAAAAACTTAAATTAGAAAGTAATTTCTTGATTGGATATTTTTAAAAAATAAATCTACACAGCAAGTTAGGTTGAATGCATAACAAAAGAGAATACTGATTGGGTGCGTGAGTTGATACCTCTTCTACATTTTTGTTGTCTTTGGCGCTGGTCTCAAACAGCTGAATCTGCATGCGCTCGGCAAATCTCTGGGCATCTTGGGTTAGCACGACCTTCCTGTCTGGGTCATCATCTTTGTTGCCCACTGCAAGAAAATACATGGGTCATTCAATGTTAGACAGAGGGTCATTCAATGTTAGACAGGATGCTTTAACCCTCTACAGTCCAGGTAAAAAGACTTTTAACTAAAACACTTTTAAAAAAATTCATTTGAAAATATCCGCTAACGTTAATAAAATTTCAAATACCATCACTAGGGAAAAAGAGACTAAGTTTATAAAGTATAAGTTTAATAATAAAAAGCTAAATAATTTACAACTAATGAACAAAATAATATCAATCTCCGAACATAAAATAAAAACAACATACTTTTTACTATTAATTTTTATTTTAAAAAATTATTAAGAAAAGCTAAAATAATAATTCAACATAATAACTAACTACTTTCTTTTTTAAAATCACTATCTCGGTTACATTATAACCAAAGCCCAACTCAACAGCAGAAGCATTTTGATTTCATTAATTATACTGCCTGTAATTCAGAATTTATTTTAATGAACTTTACAATAAAAATCTTAGAAAATTAACCATTAACCACTAGTGATAAAACAGCAACAAAAAAATATATATATATATATATAAAACTTCTGTCACTAGTATCTGCAAAATTACTCCTGTCACTTCACTTAAATACATACAGCACTAATAATGTGGCTACAATACAACAATAGATATTTCCCTCTAATAAATGGGTACCCACCTACAATACACAAAAGTAATCTCCGTCTAATAAATGCGCACCCACCTACTATACACAGAAGTAATCTCCCTCTAATAAAGGCATACCCACCTAAAACTCTATTGACCACATCACAGTTCTGGTCTATCTCATGCAGCCACCTCTGGACATTAGCAAATGACTCTCCGCTGGTTACATCATACACAACTAGCACACCATGTGTACCTCTGTAATACCTGGGGAAGGAAAGACAACTTATTAATACCTGACCAAGGGAAGATTATGCAAGGAGTGATAGTAGTTGTAAAAGATTACCTCCAGTTAACATTAGGATTTCCCAAAACTTAACATAGGAAGGTATCACCTGTATGTTTAAAGTGAGCTAATAATAAATGTATTATCTATGTTCAAATGTGTCAGACACAACAGTATGAGAACCTCAGACATAATGACATGTGACTGGATTAAACAGGACATGACAGTGAGTGGTGTCAAGCCTACTTGTAATGTCAATAGCCACTTATTTCAGGCACTATTTTAATCACAAAGTTTTAAACTAATGCTATAATCAACACCTTATGAGCAACCAAACTGTCTTTTATGGACATTAATGCGTTGTTTCAAAGTCTGACACAGTGTTTATGAAATGTACAAACTATCCTTGTATGTTAAGGAAGAAACATGAAGTTTATATGAGACAATAGGAACCTGTACCCATTATGAATACAACAATCGCTATGAGAGAGAGATAAAGAGCAGTCCATATCATAGTTTTATAAATAACCTCCAAGCACAAGCTTCCAGTGTCGCAACATGCCTTTGTTATCAAGAAAAAAATTCTGGTACACTCATGCTTACTTATTGACACTAGATTCACATTTTGAGTAGATTCTATGGGATTACAGTTTATTGAGATTTTTAAAGAGGATTTTTATGAAATTCTAATTTTTATGTATTGTAAGGAAATGAATACACTGGGTTATGCTATGGCTTGAAGTCAAACTGAGGCACTTTTCCCCAAGTGAAGTTAGTAGGTGGTAAGCTGACTATATTTTGTCTAATTTAAGCAGGGGAATAACAGAACTTTTATTTTCTTCTTATATTTACATCATCTTAAAGCTGTCAAATGGAGGAAAAAACATCTTTGTTCCTAAGGGTGACCACTCTACTTCACAGCTGAAAGACAGTGTTATGGTCTGCATGTGATTTGACATTACCAAAAAACCAGCTCAAGCCCCCCCCCCCCCCCCTCATCTCGCAGATAGACATTCTACTTCTATCCCAACATAAAACAAATTTCATCTTTAGCTTCTTGTTCCCGGGCAATACAAACTGATACACAGCAAAGATAAGCAGCCAAGTGTACCACTTCCTTGTTCCATCATTGTGCTATGTAGACTTCTGATCAGCAGAGCATGTGGGTAACTCAAGTCACTAATCCATACCCCTGGATCAGCATGTGGGTAACTCGTCACTAATCCATACCCCTGGATCAGCATGTGGGTAACTCAAGTCACTAATCCATACCCCTGGATCAGCATGTGGGTAACTCAAGTCACTAATCCATACCCCTGGATCAGCATGTGGGTAACTCAAGTCACTAATCTATACCCCTGGATCAGCATGTGGGTAACTCAAGTCACTAATCCATACCCCTGGAACAGTGCAGCCTAACCCAGTGTTTCAGCTATTGATATTTTATACCTGCCTCATACTCACATATTATTTTAAGGATGAGCATTATAATTATCAACTCAGTCTAAGAAAAGAATCCAATAAATATTTCACAACTTTAACCTAAAAAATAAACATATACTTCTCAAAAAGATTTCTTGATAGTAAATAATTTTTTAATGCAATTATTTTTTTAAAAAGATTGCAATTCTATTTACTAGCCTTTTTAAAAATTAAAAGCAAAGCATTACTACATTTGTAATTTTAGAAAGAAATTGTAATGAGCCAAAGTCCTAAAGCAGGACCTTATTTAATGTTTGCCAATAGACCCAAAGTCCTAAAGCAGGACCTGGTTTAATGTTTGCCAACCTGGCATTGAATAGACCATAAACCATGCATGAACTCATGATAATCTACTTACCCATGTATCATAGCTTAGACACTTACTTCCACATCTTACTTCCTGGTGCAACATACAGGACAATAAGGGAGGGAGGGGGGCACTATAGGATCTACATCGTGTACACTATTTTTATTATCAGGTGACCAATATAAGATCAGAACAACATTTGTTGCTAGCTGATGTCTAGCAATAATCTTGTTTGTACACATATGCTAATCTACATTTTAAACAGACTTCATAAAAATGTTAAAAAAAACAACTGTTGGGTAATTTGTTCTACAAACATATTTGAAACTGAATATTTAAACTGAAAACCAGCCAGGCAAGAAAAATTTTAAAGCTACCAGTAATGGCATATTTGCCTTTACATCCTTGTTTAACTTTACTGTTTAAAAAACAGTAGCTGATGAATGAAGGAGGTGTGTACATTGTAACCTAGCAATACACACTAACACAGTGTTTACACTAGTAGCACCATATATACCACATGTCTGTATAAAACTTGAGAATAGCTAATGTATATATGAAGGAGGTGTGTATATACTAACCTAGCAATACACACTAACACAGTGTTTACACCAGTAGCACCATATACACCACATGTCTGTGAATAGCTAATGTTATATAAAAACATTTTTCCCATGGAACATGTATAGGCCTACTTAGTTGATGCAACTTTTTCTTCTAGACATGTTAAGTATACACATGAAGCAAAAGTAAATACTGTATAACAAGACAAAATGTTTTTTCCAGTTCCTACAAACTGTTTTCTCACAATAATGGCAAAGACCAGTGGACCTTCCTATAAATGAGAACCAATCAGACAAGCACAAATAGTTCCAATCTGATATTAAATTAAGACTGAGACAACTGAAGTGGCATGTGGTAACTTTAAATATAAAATACTTTTACATACTAGCATATATAAAATACTTTTACATACTAGCATTAACTGTCTAGACGCTGACAACCAATGGGGTCCAGCAGTGTTAAAAGAACACTGCTTTAATTGTTGTTTCACAATCAAATTTCCTAAAACTACGAAATCAAATAGACAGGAAAACTGCAAAATTAAACACAGTTAAAATAGCAGCTCTAACGATATTGTGACCTAGATATATGACTAAAAGAGTAAGCAGTTTAGAATCTGTCATTTTATAGATGACTTGATTAAAATTAGAAGGTTGATATGTCTAAGAATTTTAAAAACCTACGTGGATGTAATTGTTCTAAACCGCTCCTGACCAGCAGTATCCCATATTTGTAGCTTGACCCGTTCTCCATTGACCTCAATGGTTCGGATTTTAAAATCTACTCCTATTGTTGTGATGTAAGTTCCTGCAAGTAGAAACCCAAAGGTAAATAAACACAAGACACACACTGAAACAACAACAGTTTTAAGTTCAGGCAAGAAGTGAATGATACTTTGTTCAAGGGAGAACACTCACCTGAGAATACATTATCAGCAAATCGTAACAGTAAACTGCTTTTTCCAACACCTGAAAATGAAAAGTGACGTGTAAATTTCAACCAAGGTTGTTGTTTTTTTTTAACATCCTTACAATATCAGTTTTCTCTCTAAAGAGGTCACCCAACCAACTTTTATTTAGAACAATTCTGCAACATCTCCTACCCAAACCATTCCAACTCACATAGACCTAAACCTAACTGAAACAAAAGATTGAGTATAGGATGGACCAGAATCCATTTTTATAGATTTACAATAAAACAATGAGATTTAGAAATACCAGCAATGTTTTCATTTATTCAGTGACCAACACCCTCTTTCACATATGAAACCAAAACCACACAACAACCCTATCCCATAGTCATAGGAGTCAGAGGTCATACTCCTGTGACCAGCTGATAGGCTACTGTTTATGTAGCACAGCTCTTGGCCACCTGGCGACCACCCCAAACAATATAACAAAATAAAAATTTGTAATCCCCCTCCACACCATTCATATTAGCCTGTATAAATATAATACATGTAAGCTGCCTCAGTTGTAGCTAAAACTAAAACCCAAACCTTAAAGAGTCTTAGAAAAGACATCTCAGTGTGTTTTCATCACTATCTAGCATCTACTAAATATATTTATTAGAAGCAGACAGTAGATCTTGATTATTTAAAGTTTAAAAGGTGATTTGATAGGCTTATTTCTGTATAAATATTCACACAGTAATTTTATATATTATGTATAGGCCTAAGTATGCTTAGTGTAGAGTGGACGAAACTGATTAACAAATACATATTCAACTTAGGCCACCATTGTAGAACAAGTTAATGTTAAGTTAACAAGTTAATTTAAATTTAGAAAATAGCTTGGATAGGCCTAGTTAAAATCTGATCATCAGTTATTGTTCATTCAATATTCATGTTTCCATCATCATTTATTTTCTAAGCATTTCCCTAAACGTATTGTGGCACATGACTTCACTTTTTTTGTCTTTTTAAAAAATATATTGCCATAACGCACAAATGAGAAGAAGTAAAATACCATTATTATCCACCTGGTTTCATTGGGTTTTTTTTTTAAATTTAAATATTAAGTCAGTCTTTAGTACACAACAGCAAACAATGAAAATGATTTTCCTAATTAAAGCAGTTTCTTTAAAAGAGGAGATTATCCTGTGGAACAGGATTGGCTGTCATGAACTATTCCATCAAATAAAGCTGTATCAATAATTGCATGGCAATTTCTTCCTTATTTTTAGTATTAACACTGGAAGTGGAAGTAGGTATATCTTATGGATTATTCCCAGTAGGCCTAGACACTTCAAATTAAAAATAATAAGTTGCTGGTTGAAAAGCCTTTAGTATTGTTGGAAATTATGATAAAGTAGTATAAAGAATGGTGAATGCTAGAAACTGGGAAATTGAAGTATTTAGCCTAGTAATTAGAGTATTGGTAAAATGGACTCTTCCAAAAATAAGTGTGCTAAATTGTAAGAAGTAGTAGTAGTATTTCTATTCAGTACTATTTGTAATCTCAGGTTTTGTTCAATCTGTGTAGAGTTAAATTAGAGTAATGAGTAAACTGTTAGTCACTATGACAGGAACAGACATTGGGAACCCATGGCGTAGTCCGTAGAGTCAGAAATCAGGGTTCGGGCTTTGGTTTGAGTTGATTATCAGCATGTAACTAAGTAACATTTAAAGTACTATTGTATTTAGATATCTACTAGATCTAGTACTAGATTCTTGATTATTACCAGTACCACATCACAAACTTTGATGATTTTAATTTACTTTGACAATTCCCTCTTTCCCCCCCCCCCCCCCCCCTTTAAAAAAATGAGATTCCAAAATTGTTCTAGATCTAGATCCTAAATACTAAATAAAATAAAAGTCCTAAAGAAAGACTGGTGATTTAAAACATGATAGTAGGCCTACACACCCCTAATAATGTACAGATCCATTATGAATGTAACTTAAGCAAGATTAACAACAAACATGCTACCTGTCATTTATAACTGAGTGACTGTTATAGTTTTTCTGTTTTGTTGTGTCTGATTTTCATTGCCTGCATCTGCATTGTTTTTTTCTTAACTAGATCTACACACAGACAAGATTTAGTAGAACTAATCTAGATCTAGGTCTATACGAGAAATATACTTACCACTATCACCTATAATTAAGAGTTTAAATAAATGATCATATTCTCGAGCCATGGTAGCTCTGGGATTTCTAAATCAAGTAAAATTAGTGCTGTAATCCGTTATATCGATAATTTGTGAGGGGAGGACTTAACTCAAAGTCGGAAGCGATGAGATCGCTGACTACACAATCTATTTCCGAGTTTACATTCAGCGCATGCGCAGTAGTGTAAAAAACATAAAATCATAGATCTAGCCGAGGCCTAATTCAATATTATCATAGCTTACTAGCGGAATTAAAAATAAAATTATTGAAATCCATGCACTTTGATTTACGGGTCATTCGTGTATGACATCCACATTAAAAAAAAATGTTAGACCTCCTCTCCCGTCCACACGCGTCGATTTTCAACCACTCCCCCTTCCAATGTGGACGTCCACTAACAAAACTTTCTTTGGGGTGAGGGGGAAGGGGGGTTAAATTTTACGAGGAGCGAATACTAGTTGAATTAAATATTTTTATATCATTATTAATTGCATTTTTTTTTCTAATTCTTTCGGGGGTGGAGGTGGTGGACATGCTTCGGAAGACATGTCACCTTCCCCACCCACCCACCCAAGAAGATGTGCCTGAGAGAAACTCTGCCGCAAAAGTATTAAACACTAATTGTGTGTGTGTGTTGAAAGCATTATCTGTTTTGCACAGGGTGTATAATAATAATAACTTTAGTAAGGGGTCGTCCATTAATGACGCCACACCGGCTCATCAAAAAAGCGAGACGTCATTAATGTATGACCCCTAAGTCTTAAAGTTAATGATCTGTATAGTTCTTGTTTACTTTATAGCTCGCTTACCAATAAGGTACTAAGTAATAATTATTTTATTTTATTATTGGGGTTGTCCACTTATAACGTCACACACCTAAGAGGGGAGGGGGGATGTTTGTACTTATGTCACCATGCTTGTGAGGCGATTGTGGGGTGGGGTGAGGGTGTCGGTTCCAGTGTTTCTTCCAGACTTTTTTCTCCGGGGGGGGGGGGGGGGGGGGGGCACTTGAAATTTTCGGGGGGGGGGGGGGCGGTAGACTTTCTTCGGGGGGGGGGCGGACACTGTTAAATGTATATATTTTCTATATAAATTATATAAAATTTCGGGGGGAGGGGGAAAGAAACTCTGGTCGGTTCTCAGTGGCGTAGTGAGGTCGGTTGTCACCCGGTGCGGCACTTAATGGTGTCACCCCCCCCCCCCCCCAGAGGCGTAGCGACCCTTCCCGGGGACGAACTTTCAAATGTCACCCCCCCCCCCCCCCCAAGATTTCGATTTGCACCCCCCCCTCAAACTTTCGATTTGCACCCCCCCCTTAAGTTTTTCTCTATATATTTTGCTAATTTTTGCTTTGGTGTCACCCCCTTATATGGTGTCACCCTGTGCGGTCCGCACCCCCGCCCCCCCCCTCGCTACACCTCTGTCGGTTCTGAATATATGAGAACACACTTTTGCACTAATGCAGTAATCAGTAGTGCAATAACTGAACACTACTACCGGTGCTTAGAGTGTATTTACGGTAATTAACGTACTCCGTATTTCTGTTGGTTACTTCCCTTTATTAAAAGCTTAATCGACAAGTAAAATTCAATATGAATAAAATTTAAACATTTCAAGAAAATACAGGCCTGTTATAAAAAAAAAAAAAGCTGCCTATTAAAACAACAATGCATCGTACTGTCCTCCACACAATAACCCAACCATACAGGAGGCTACTTATATTGTTGTCCCCAGTATAAAACTCGTTGAAAATGCAGTGCCGGCATTGTTACATTTCAATAACTCGGTTCTAGAAACCAAGTTCATACGTATAAAAATACTAATTGGCTAATAATGATAAAAGTCAGCATACCGCGTCAGGCAATTAATTAAAAAAAAGTTCAGTCGACTGAAATCTTCATTGATATTATAGGTATTCCAGGTGAGATGTTTTGTCTGAGATGTTTCCAGCGTTTCTTCCAGACTTTTTCCTCCGGGGGATGGGGGGGGGGGGGGGGGGGGGGGGGGGGGGGGGGGGCTAAATTTTCCGGGGAGACGAACAATTATTTTTATGTAGATTATATTAAGTTTGGAGGGGGTGGGGGTGGGGGACTAAATCTTCCGGAGAGACGAAACATACAATTTTATGTAAATTATATAAAATTTGGAGGGGAGGGGTGGGCGGCGGTAGACGTTCTCCGTGGAGGGGGGGGGGGATGCCTCAAATAAACTCTGGATGTTTCGCCGTGGGATGTTTTAGGGGTCATCCAAAAATTACGTCACGCTTTTCGGACGATTTTTACCCCTCCTCCCCATCGTCACAAAAACCCAGACCCCCCCCCCCCTAAAATGACGTCACATCTAAGCTTAACCCCATCCCCCTCGAAATTACAATTGAATTATTTTTAAACATCGATTTCTGTCTAAAATATTGACTTACTTTTGTCTACATAGAGCTTATCAATCAATTTCTATTGCAAATTAACAAAAACAGTTTAGTAAAACTAAAACGCGGAATAACGAAAATTGAGTTTCTAACATTATGTTTTTAACATTACGTTTTTAAATACAAAAGTATGACTTCACACTAAATGAATCACCTTCCTCCTCTAAACCTAACCACTCCCCCCCCCCCCCCCTTTCCTCCTATAAGTGTGACGTCACTTAGGGACGAGGCCAAAGATATTTTATGTGATATATCTTGTCCTTGTGATATTTTGTTTAAAATCTTTTGTCATGGGTATATATATATATATATATATATATATATATATATATATATATATATATATATATATATATATATATATATATATATATATATATAGGCATATATAAGCGTATCTATAGCAATATAGGCAAAGTACATGTAGGCTGTAGTTTAAACAAATTTGGTATATATATTATAATAACACTTTCATTTTTTGAGCACCTTTCACTTTTCATGTATTTTGTACTTTTCGTGCAACCTTAACATTTACTAGATCCCAAACAACTTTCAATTTTCTTTCAGAACAGTTTAGTTTAACGCAAATGGAGACAAATATAGCAGCGGGAATTTCCTATTCTAAGAATTCAAACAGAGTAGTCAGTTTGGAAATCTAGTGGCCAAATTTAAGCTGTATATCGGAAAATAAAAACATAAGGGATATTGTTTGTTTTAAACAAGAACATTTGAACTCAAGCGTAAAATAGAATTTTAATGTTATATTAATTAGCACCTGCCAAGAAACGTTTACTTTTAATTGGTAATCGATATTTTCTTTTGTGTATGATTGTTATTTTCTCTCTTTGTTTTCCTCTTTATTCTTGATTGTAATACTGGGGGTGATTTCCTGTGTCATCCGTAAAGCAATACGTGTTTACCTGTAGTGTGCTATATGGTCCGTTGACTCCGAGTTTAGCCTGCTTTCTTTTCTTATTGTTTTTTGCTTCGTACAGTGGCGTCGCTAGGTCGGGTGTCACCTGGTGCGGCAACTAATGGTGTCACCCCCAGGGCCGGCGCTACCTATAAGGCGAACTAGGCGGTCGCCTAGGGCGCTGGCCGTAGGGGGCGCCAAAATGGGTTGGAAAAACAAATTGAAAGTTTGAGGGGGGAGGGGTGCAAATCGAAAGTTTGTCCCCGGGGGCACGAAAAAAAATTGCGGGGTGGGGGCGCTTTTAACAAGTTTTGCCTAC